TTGAGTACTGTGTTCAGTTTTGGGCCCCCCAATACAAAAGGGACATCGAGGCTCTGGATCATGTCCAAAGAAAGTCAACAAAGCTGGTGAAGGGCTTGGAGAACAAGTCTTATGAGGAGCAGCTGAGGGAACTGCCGTTGTTTAGTCTGGAGAAAAGGAGGCTGAGGGGAAACCTTACTGCTCTCTACAACTACTTAAAGGGAGGTTGTAGAGAGGTGGGTGTTGGTCTCTTCTCTTGGGTAACAGGTGACAGAACGAGAAGAAATGGCTGCAAGTTGGACCAGGGGAGGTTTAGGTTAGATATTAGGAAAAATTTCTTCACCAAGAGAGTTGTCAAGCATTGGAACAGGCTGCCCAGGGAAGTGGTGGAGTCACCATCCCTGGTGGTATTTAAAAGATAGGCAGATGAGGTGCTTAGGGACATTGTTTAGAGATGGGATTGGTAGTGATAGGTTAATGGTTGGACTCAATGATCTTAAAGACCTTTTCCAACCACTTTGATTCTATGATTTGCAGTAGAAAACAAATATGAGGCAAATAAAATACTTCTCTGCACAAATTATTTCATACTGGTATGGAACAAAAACTATTCCTTTTACAAAATCTGTTTGTTTATATTCTTTGCCAAGAAAATTAAAATCAGTGGATTTAGTTTTCTGATTAAGAAAATCTGACTAATTTGAGTGTGAAAATTACTAAAGGGGCATACTTTTTAAATACACTAGGTAGCTAAATCAGTGATTTTGCTTATGAAATATTGCTGAAATATTTGTATCTGTGTCCATGATATATGCCTGTCTGAAAGTAAACTATTGTAATTTTCATGCTAAACAAGAAAAAAAGCATGTGTGAACTTTCTAAGCTAGAACTGCCTGTTAGGTATCTCTGTGTTGATCATACTTGAACAGGAAATCGTGACACTTAAAACTGCTAAGTGAACACGTAGGGAGTATTACACTGTATATGCAATGAAACACACATTGTTTATTTTGTGTAGCATTTTCCTGCTCCCTTAAATATATACAAGATGGAAATTCACAGACTTTTTCTAACCTTTAGCTGCTATCCTTGCACAGAAACTACAAAACAAAAACTGATGGACTAGTAAACCACTTGATTTAATTTTATTTCATCGAACACTGATCACATTTCCGGTAGACAATAAATATAATGCACTGTTGACAGATGTGTAGAAATGTATATACAGTTAGATGAAGAAATCTGGGTCAAGGCAGTTCAAATCTCAGTTTATGCCTTTGCATTTCCTTGAATATGGCTATAAAATTCTTACCTACTGATGCATGACCTCCTACAATAGCAGTTTTCCACTGCCCATCCAGACTGCTGCTGGGAAGGCTGCCCTGCCAGTGGAGTGTTGGTGCATTTCAGGCTTGATGTGAGCATTTACTGAAGTACATGAGATTCTTTGCCTGAGGTTCATTTGCCTTTAAGTAGGGCTGTGGTACATTTTCCCAGTTGCCATGTAGTATTTCCTATATTTCCTGGAAGATATTCAAGACAGGTGAGCTCTAAATCTGTGTCTTGAGTTAAAGGAATGCAGTGAGAGGCAAGCTAAAGCATCCAGGAGATCAATGGAATTAGGAGCACAAAATGGAAGACAGTTTTGCTCTGTGTTTTGTTGGGGTTTTTTTTCTCTTTCTTATGTTGGAGGAAAAAAAAAATAGCTTCAGACAGCAGGCCTATATTTCATGGAAAGATGGTGGGGCTTTTTTTGCATTTTTTTTCCTCCAGAGAAGGATGAGAGGAGCACAGAATATAGACACTTTCAAAGTGAAACTTGCAATAAATACCTAAGATGCTGGGTCTTGCCTTAACAATTTGCCATTGCTCTTCCTGCCCAGACTATCAACATACAGGAGTGGTTATTCTTACTGAACTATCCCAACTCTTCATCTCTTTCTGAGCCATTTCAATCTTCTACAATGCAGTTGGGCTTTTATGGTTCTGTAAGACAATATTTCTGTTGGCCTTTGTAGTATACATATGGTAAATGATTCTCTGGTCACAGATGGGCTGGCAATTTTGCTCATACATAGCAAAAATGTTTCTTTGGGGAAAAAATCTGTGTAATGAATTTATAAATGAAGCAAGGAAAAGGTGAGCACACACTGCAAATTGGACTGTAATTACCGGTCTAACAAGAAATGTTCCTTGTCTGCTTTGTCTGAGAAAAGCAATCTGTTGTCACTGAGTTAAAGCTTTCCATAGTCCCCCAGTATAACTGTAACACTGAAATCCATTGCAGTCTAAATGCACTTGAAATCTTACAAGTTTCCTAGAAATTACTCAGAAGACAAAAATACTCAAGTGAGATAGTAAGAATATATGCATTTGAAAGAGTGAAGAATCTTCCAAATGTAGGTGAAAGTTCTGTTCATTCACCTGTATGGTCTGTTCCTATGATTTAGTGTGGATGCAGTGACTACTGGTGGTTGGAACACAGATAATGGGAGGCAGAAGTTCCTATTCTGGCTTTTTGTGTAGTGGCTGACTTAATTTCTCTGTTTTATTCTAAGAAATAACCATATACATGCATTTATCCATTTATCCCTTGATCTGTCCATCCATATATATGCACTGCATCATGCACATCTTTTTTAAGCTCTTTAAGCGCTTTCATAAGCCTGTGTCATTTACTTCATAATACCCAAAGGAAAAGTGAAAAATACTGACCTTGTTGCTTTTCACATCAAATTATTAGCTACTTTCTTTCATTTGGTAAAAAGCAAAGAAGATCTTAAAGGAACCTGTATTGATTTGTTAATCTGGCTACATTGCAAACTCTCCATGTAAAAAAAGTTGTTATAGAAAAAAGAGACTGTTATGGATAGTATCGCAATGCATTTAAATACTGTCACCTTCTTCTTTAACAGATCTATGGAAATGCAAGATCTAGCCAGTCCTCATAATCTTGTTGGAAGCAGTGATGCACCAGGTAGTTCCAAACTGGATAAACCTAATCTCAGCAGTACATCAGTTACAACAAATGGAACAGGAGGTAAGTATAAAACACTGCTGGCATGTCATAGAAAGTTTCAGCTAGTTTTTAGTCATATGCATTTTTTAACATAATTTCAAGGATGAGCATAAACCCATTTATAAACCCAGCAAGAATTATGAAAAAATGTCAATCATGCCAGTGTAAATCTACTAATTCCAACAGCATTTCTTCAGTTTGCACCAACTGAAGAGGCAGAACTGTGCAAAGGTGAAACAAGGAAAATCTTGGAATGATTGATTTGAACAAAGTGTTAAAGGTTTGGTTATACCTGTTGGTAACCTGAAATAGATTGCATTTTCCACGTCATACTTCTTTGCTGAGTAATAATTTACTCCTCTTATACCCCTATACCTAACGCATTTAGGTTAATTCAAAATCCCTGTCAAAAGAAGTGCACCAAAATTAGGCTTAGGTATTATTTTTTTTTACATGATGAATGTGCTAATTCCATTTTTTGGCAGGTAATGAAAGAGATTTTTAGATGTTCCTCAAAGTAACTGGTTATTACTGCTGTATCTATTAGTATAGGGACAGCACTACCATGCAGCTGCACCGCCAATATTCCAATGCTTTCAGATAATAGATGAGCTGGAGCAGTAGGAGGCAGGGTACCGTATTCTGAGATGGAGTCCTGTTCCCATTAGTGTCCATGAGAGTGACACCATGGATATGAGTTGAGCTAGAGTTTCAGCCCTCTTTTTTGGAGTTTATACATTGCTGTCTATTTTAACAGTTGACACCAAGATTTTTTATTTTTTTTTTATGGCCACATTGTAAAGCATTTATTCACTTAACCCTATTTAAAGAAAAAAAAAACATCTATCAATGTCAATGAAAAGTGTATGTACCTGCGAGATCAACAAGCTCTGCATAGAAGGGCTCAGCTGTTAAGGTTCAACTTAGTTATTTTTTTAAAGAAAATCCTTATTCCAACATAAAGAAAAGAGTAAACTTCCAGCATATGATTAAAAACCACTAAAAACTAGATGCCTCTATATTATATTTGCATGAATAAACCAGTTAAACTAACACTCATAAGAACAACACAATGCAGTTAAAAGGCTTGGCTCAAAGTGTGAGAACATTTACTTGCCTTCAACACTGTTCAAGTGCCTTGAACAGACATTGGGACAATGAACTGTTATACCATTCCTGTTCTCAGGAGACAACATGACTGTGTTAAATACTGCAGACTGGTTGCTGAGTTGCAGCACTCCCTCTTCTGCAACAAGTATGAGAGACCCTGGTACAGTGCATGCGTGTGGTGGTGTGTCTCCATGACTGCTGTGTAACATCTCTTGGTTTGCTCTGCTCTTTTGTTATGTGGTTTGAACATTTTATTGGGGTTTCCCCACCCCATCCTTTTTTTCCACCCCTTCTCAGAGGCCTTTCCCACAGACAGAAAACTGGTAGGAAGTTGCAATAGTTATCTTACCATACTTTGAAATTCATTGGATGAGCAAGGAGATTTTAAGCCACTTAAAATTAGATTAACTGTCTGTGTTCTCTGAGACACTTGGGAGAGTCCCATCAGCATTGCTGGGAACTGCCGGTAGTCAGCATTGCTGGAAGTCAGACCAATGGATTTTCCACAGAATGCCCATTTGATTTTCTTTTATTTTTAGATAAAACATTGCATGATTACCTGACCACAAATCAAGGTTGACATTATTGTTACTACTCCTACTACTACTTTAATTATTAATTAAAGTTTATGTCTAGTGTGCTACTGCATGTAACTTGCTGCTTTACAAACATTTGTCCAAATTTTCCAAGCTGTTGTTTTCGTTTATGAGTTTCCTGTCATATATTCTTAATTGTTATGATTTATAATGAATAATAATTATATATGTGACAGTGTTGCAGTACATGTGGGATTAATCATAGGTGTAAACATGTGTCACCATGACTTTCTACAAGCCATTACACAGGTGCTTAAGCAGTTCAGTTTTGGACTAAAGTTAGGAAGAATTCAAAAGTTTCCTTTTAAAAAAACCCTCAGAATTAGGTTTCCATTTGTAAACCTCATATCCAGAGAGAATATAGCCAAAAAAAGTTCAGACTTGAGCACAAAAAATAATTTGCACTGGAATAACTGATTCCATGTGAATGCTCCTACTCAGTTACATTAATTTAAGTTTAAGGAAGGACTGAGCTAATTTAGTCTGTCACCTCAGTTTAACCGTTCAGCACGTTCAGATAAATGTGGAATGTAATAATTTAAGTACTAATTATCAGTAGTGAGGAAATGTAATGTGAAAGTCCTTCCATTACTTGCATTAAATCTGATTTTCCATAGGCAGTAGAATATTTAGATCTGTGTTTCTAGTTGAGTATATTCCTACAAAAACCCTTAAGGCTTGCTAAGAAAGAGGAAAATTGTTCCTATGACAAGCTGTGTGGTGTAATTGTTTTACATGAGCTTTTAGTCAGACTTGTTTGCTCTAATAGCCATTGCACTTGCTTGTCCTGCTTCACGAATAGCGGTAGCATTTCTTATCCCTAACACTCCGTGTTCATTTTCAGCCCTTAACATAGGGAAGTTCTTTAGGAAAAAAAGAAAAAAAATAGGTTGGCAGAGCAGTAGTCATGTTGGTCTGCTAAGTCCTTTCATCAAGTCAAGAACTTATATTGTAGAAGCTGTTGCCTGTTGGGAGCTGCATTCTGAGTTCATATCAGAATAATGAAGTTTGGAAGGGATCCCTGGAGGTCAGCTAGGCCAACCCAGTCTCAGAGCAGGTCCAACTTTGCTGTTAGATCATGTTGCACAAGGCAGTGTCTAGTTAAGTGTTGAATATCTCCAAGGTGGAGATGCCACAGCCTCTCTGGGCTCCTGTCCCAGGGCCTGACTACTCTCACAGTGAAGAATTTTCCTCTTACATCTACTTGGATTTTTCCCTTGCTGCAGCTTGTGTCTGTTGCCTCCTGTCGTTTCACAGGGCACCTTTTGAGAAGAGTGTACCTTTGTTCCTTATCATCTTTGCACCTTCCCATTAGATAGCTGCAGGCAGCAGTTAGCTCTCCCCTCAGTCTTTCCTTCCAAGGACATAACAAGCCCAGCTTCTTCTGCCTGTCTTTGTACATCGTATGCCCCAGCCCCTGACTGTTTTGGTAGCTGTGCTCTGTGAGCATGTACAGTATTCACTGTATTTCCAGCTTGAGATTGCTTTTCATTTTGTTTCTACTCTTTCAATATGTAAAAAAAAAAAAACCAACAACAAAAAACCCCAAACCCCAACTAGTCCACACTTTAAAAAAATTCATCTAAAGTGCTGGTTCAAACTCGTTGCCACAATAGTATCAGAACTACACATCATCTCGCATGTGGGAAACATAGGGATGATTCTGTGTTTTTAATTGCTGTCAGCTTTTATTTTGATTTCGACTTTAAATGTTCCTGGGTTTTTGATCTGGTGTTAGAATTCTTTTTTTTTTCTTTTTTCTTTTTTTTTTTTTAGTTAGCTTTGTGCTTTTTCCTGCCTTGGTTTAATTACATGCAACATAAAAAAAGAAAGGTAATAGTCCAAATGTCTAGCTGCACTGAGGAAAGACCTTGATTAATTCCTTACTGTGATAAAATCTGAATGTAACAAAGTAGAACTGTTTAAAATCAAGCACATACAAAAATATGTTCTACATGTATTTTTCAACAAAATACAGTGCCAATATGATGTTTTTCCTCAAGTTAAGTACATGAGAGAGTTTCTTTTGGTTTAGATCCTTTTCTGCTTGACAGGGAGAGAAAAAGATGGTGACTGGTGCTGGTGGAAGTGCACTGCAGCTGGTATTAACCAGAACTAGACACAACTCTAAAGTAAACATTTCAATTCATTACTGACATTTTCGTTAAATAAAACAGTTAGGCACGTACTGGAGTGTCTTTCTGGATGCAATACTGAACATAGGCTTGTAGCACGATATGGACAATAATGCAATATCTTCTTGAATAAAAACATATAAAGATACTAAAATGTAGGATATTTCTTGTTGGTAAATGTCTGTACTCTGCAGAGAAGAGAGACATACATCTTATAAAGTAAATATGACCAAAGAACTTCAGAGAGGAAAATACAAATTTTTCCAGCTTATGATTTTTCATTCTCCTACTGCAGTGCCTGCAGACATTTGTATATAGTAATCAGTAATTTAGTTACTTTTCATGCTTCAGGCAACAATACATGTTCTACACGACTGAGAAGCCTGAGGTTGAGCGGAGGCAATTGTTTTGTGACAAATGACCCTTTAGCTTTTTCTGGATGTATATTTTATTGATCTGATGAAAATAAAATCACACCTTTCTCATCTAAATAGAGAAATGGGAATGGTTGATTGCTCTTATGAATGGCTTTGTTCATTTTGTGTAATTTTTGTAACGGCTTTTTTTTTTTTTTTTTTTAAATCGGAACATAGTAGCCTGCAAAATGGCAAGGAGTGCACTGCAACTTGAAAAAAAATGGCTAAAATTCTTCCCTGATAATTTAATATTGAATTAATATCCTGCTGCTTGCAGGGAGGATATATGAGTGTGACAGTTCTATTCAAGAGAAATTATAATTAAGTCTACATTTAAAAGACACACATTTACATATTTTTTAATCTCTCACAGTAAATGGAAAGATACAACTGTATAACTTGTCTAAGAAAATGTTTCTTGGTTTCCTTAGCACTGGGGCTCCTGTGACACTGCGGGATACTCTCCCAGTCACAGAGACAAATAGATCCCTATTTCTCTAATGTTCTCTACTTGACAGATGTACCTTTGAATTCAGCGTAGGTCACTTGTGCAATTGTAGTCATCTGCAGCATCCCATGTGACTTACTGAAGTAAGATGCCTGACGCAGTGTGACTGGAAATCAGGTGTGATATCATAGGAGAGGTAACTCACACAGTGTTGATAGCTGTGCAGTTTCCAGTGAGATCCTCTTTGTGCTCATAGACACAGAGAGGAATAGCAACATGGTTCTGTGCGTGTTGTTTTCCTGTGAGAAAATAAAATCCTTTATTTAGCTCATCTGTTGCCTTTTCTTCTACAGACTGTAAGAGGGATGGTGAACTTGAGGGCAGCTCAGGCTGTATTTGGACTGAATCACCCTCTGGAAGTACTTCTCTTTCTCAACTGGACATAAAGGGAGATTTGTATGCACCTAATTTATATGCTTAAATAAGGTGACTTGAATCTGAGCCATAGTTTGTAAGTACACTGCCAGCTCAGAACATGAAACTTCCCTCCTCCCCTTACTATTGCCAGTGAAGTCAAACATGGATGCGATGATGTTGACAGACAAGAGCTTTGGTCAGCTTAGCTGATGTCCCTCAGAGGCGTCAGATGACTAGCTGGCAGAAAATGCCTTTGCTTAGCATATGTCACCATCCCTCGAGGTATTTAAAAGACATGTAGATGTGGTGCTTAGGGATATGGTTTAGCAGTGGCCTTGGCAGTATTAGGTTTTCTGTTGGACTTGCTGATCTTAAAGGTCTTTTCCAACCAAAACAATTCTATGATTCCGTGTTAGACCTGCTGGGAGGGCTCTGCCAGCCCAGGTCTTAAAGCAAAGGCTCCTCCACAAATCCCAGACTGTGTCCTTGGAATTTCCATACCTGGCGTACAACCTTGGTAGTGACCCATGCAGGTCCTCATTGCCACATTGCTCTGCGCCCCTGCACAGCAACCAGTGCTGGGATATCTATAACCAAGTTGCTGATATATATGTGATAAATGCTCACACACATCTCTAACTGAGCTTTGCAAAACAATTGTGATAATATGTTGATGGTTTCCACATTAGCCATTCAAACATCTAATAAAAGGTGCAGTGTATTCTGTACTGCTCTTTCTTACCACATCAATTAGAAGGGTGATTCCCAATACCACTACAAAAGTCCATGCCAGATGGTCTGTTCAGTTAACATATTAAACTATAAAATGTAGATTGCCTCCATGGTGCTTTCAGTTATAGCTTGGATGGGAAGAGTGCATGATGATTCATAAGAAAAAATTTGAGTTCAGAGTGGACCCAAATGTTTGGTAACCCCTGAGTTAGAAGCTGATTTGTTGTGGCTGTCGTTTGTGTCCTAATCTAGTTCTTTTGCTTTTTTTCCTTTTAAACTTCTTCATTTATGGAAAATTGCTTGCTGGTGACCTAGCTCAAAAAGCCCAAACAGACTCTGTAAAAGGGGAAGGAGAAAGGCAGAATGCTGGCACTGTGAAAGTAATTTGCTTCTATATGAGCATGAAACCATATTATTATTATTGTTTCACTTGTCAGGCAAAACTATTTTTGTTATGTGCTACACCCCTTGACAGCTAACGTTTCCTTCCTCTCTGCTGCTCTTAGGGAATTGTTAGAATCAATTAGATTTAGGTTGAAATCTCCCCAGAAGATATTCCAGTTACTAAACCAATAGATAGACCAATGCACAGATAAAAAGCTATGTAGATGCATGGCTGTTCCAGATGGAGCAAGTGTAGATTATCTCAATACGGTGCTAGAGCGAAGGTCGAAGCTGTTGCACCGCATGCGTGTTCTAGCTGGACTACTGCTAGGGAGACTGGCATGAAGACTCCAGTATAAATTTAGAAGTAAAATCTCATGTCTACTTATTCTTCTATGTAGTGTCTCTTCTTGCAGTCAAAACGGAACCCATGAACAGCAGTGAAACAACAACAACAACTGGAGATGGATCTCTTGACACTTTTACTGGGTCAGGTAAAGCCATAATAAGATTATGTATTGTTAGATGCACATTAATGTACCATTTTATAACCTTCACTAATGAACATTTCACTGCATGCAAAGCATTCTTTAAAAACTCTACAATAACGTAACATTTTAATAACTAATAAAAATAATAATAGCTTTTTCATTTTTGTATATTAAAATCTACAATTTTAATGAGCTATGATCTTAAAGAAGCTTTAGTGATGCCTAAGATGATTACTGTATGCAAAAATCTTATAGTAATGATGTTATCATTGTACTGTGGATTTTTCTGTGTTAGTCTTGTACAATCAGAAAAAAATGCATTGTATTTGTAACAGCTGTTTTAATTTGTAAAATTTAAAATCTTAAGGGTTATATTTCAATGATAATCTTTTTATTCCTATAAACAGTGTGTTAGTTTAAACACTGATCAGATTGCCATAAACTACTTTGTTTCCATTAAAATAAAATCTATATTTTACTTTAAATAATCGTAAGTTTCAGTTACTTCTCCTTAAAAAAATCAAACAAGCAGTAATTTTTAAGTAAATTCCTATAAATTATTAGAAGGTGATGAACTGTGGAAAAGTACAGATAATCTGCCTTCTAATCATTAATCTGAATCCTGATAATAATAATATTAACAAGGAGATGGCAGCGAGTAAATTTTGCATCTGAAAATATCAGTCCAGTGATGGCCTGACAGAAATGTCATTGAAGCCAAGGATCTCCACTTCACACTTATACTATTATTACTTTGGTAGACTTAAGTAGTCAAGCCCTATTTAAAATATTTTGGAAATCACAATATTTCTTTGCAATGAAAATGTTTTGAAAATTAAATTTATGTTTCTGGAATTGTTTTTTATGCATCAGTAAATGCAGATATTCTCCGAAGTTGGTTATTCAGAAAAAAATAATTTCTTTCTTTATTACAAATTTAGTACCTGACGAAAAGGTCTTTTATGACATATAAAGCAAATGTATACTGGTTAGAAAAAAAATGAAAACACTGTCCTCATTATGATTATACTGAAAGGAACCCCGTCAACTTAAAGTCTAACAAGCTCCATAAAAAAATTAATAGTCTTGGCTAAAATTGAGGGGTTTTTTTTACTGTGTTGTTAGTCTAGCCTAGAATTGTATTACTAATGATTGCAGATTATAGAATGTCCAACCATGTATATGATTTTGTCATTGTTGGTGAAATTTTATCAGGTTCTACCATGTATTTAAGACATCTGAGTTGGATTCCATGTGTAAAACATGACTAATGCAACATTTTCATGAAGGGGTTCTAAAAACTGCAGCCTTCAGTTTGCATTTAGGTAGCTAAGTAAAACAACTGGATTTCCCCAGGTGCCACTCACCCGTTAGCTTCTACTGACTTCAAAAGAAGTGTTGAGATCTCTATGTTTCGGAGGTTTGGAAACAATTGATGCCTCCAGAAAAGGCAGGAGTTTGAGCCTTACATGATAATTTTTCTCGTTAGCTGCCTGCCTACCCAAAAGAAATATGAACCTGTTTCCCCGTTTAGGCCACAAATTCATGTATTAAATAAGTATGTTCATTCACAATGGAAAATCAGTAGTCTGCCTGTCTGAGTCATGTGCAGTCTTCATCATCAGAGCAAAACGCAGAGCTGCCTTGATAACGCACTGAGCCTTTCATAAAGAGAAAACCCATTACTTTCACACTTGCCTTTTACTGGTACTTGCAAATTGGACAGTTTGGTTGGCTCAGTTTTGTAGAAGTGCTAAAGAACAATAAAAACTTACTAAAAAAGTATTTTTCTGACTTTTTAACCTAACTAGTTATTTGGGAAGTTTAATGGGTTGACAAAGACAGTAAATAATGAATAGTAGGAAGATGTCATTTCAGACAAACCAGCTGCAACTGCAAATAGTGTATAACAAAGCCCAACACTGAACAGTTTGGTTTTTCCTACTAATCAGTCACATAAGTGTGTTATTCCCAGCTGTGACAAGGTGATAAAACTAGTACTTTCTTGCAGCTTTCAGAGCACCTGTGAGCTCATTTCATGAGGGTGCCTAGACATACAGGCCACTAGCAGGGATATCACCTACTCTGTCTTATACAAGCATAGTTCAGAAGAACTCAAGCATCCTTTGTTGAGTAGGGACAGGTTTGGGTATGTTATTAAATATTTTATGAAATGAGACAATGGGTGAAAAAATAAATCCTTTTGCTGAGATTCATTTGAGAGTCTGCCATGCAGAAATCCTCTCCTTCAAATATTCTAAAGTATTAAAATTGATTTCCATGCTCCAAGGACCATCAAAAACACATGACGTGTCCTGAAGCTGAGCATAAGGCTGAATGAGCCCTGTGGGGTGTAAAGTAACCAGCTCTGTCCCTAATGACCAGCTGTAATGCAGAGAGTGATGGTCAGACTGCAGGGTGTAGGGCAGGAGAGACAGATTAGGCTTCACAGGTAACTGTGATGAATCCCAATTTTTGATTGAAAAGTTGAAAAATGAAGCACATAGATCTCTTGAATTTAGAGTGACAGTTGCCACAGTGGCCTTGCCCAGGCCATGGGGCAAGCTGCTGCTCAGGGCTGCAGCTCACGTGTTGCAGCTCCCCAGTTCCTCCATCCTGCAGAGCTGTCCCTGGGAGAGACAGTGCATCTTAGCCAGGGTTGGCCAGGTGGAGAGTCACATTGCGCACCCCTCTTCCTCCTCCTTTTTCTTCAAAGAATGACAGCTAGTAATTGATATCGGTACACTCGATTTGAAGCTTTGTGGTCCTGCAGCAGACTCCCATTGGGGTGGGTATTCACAGGGTGTGGAGAGCTGAACAGCCTTGAGCTTTCCTACTTTCTGAATATGCTGCAGCTGCTGCACTGTGAGTGCATGCATTCTTGTGTTTGTATTGCTTACAGTACCAGATTAATTTGAGAACTGTTTATCATTTTAATAGGGTGGAGAAAGAGACACATATTTAAATTTCGCATCATCCTTTTTACTTAGGATTGATTACACACAAAAACCATATAGAAAACAATTTCCGAAGGCTATAAAGGCAAAGTTAGGGAAGATACTGCTGTATAACCTATGTTTGATACCCTTGTGCTTCGACATTGTGATTCGTTATTTAAATTAGATCTTTTTAACTTAACCTCTTTGCACAAAATTTTCCAGATGTGTAAAGAAAAAATACAAAATTCCAGCTGATGTTAATATACTGAATCCAACACATGCTATCAGAACAGTTTATGGTCATCTAAATTCTCCACAGCCACCTTGGCCAGTTAAGCTAACAGAGTAACTGGTAGGAGCTGGCTGTCAGCTTCTTGTCCCCTCTGTGAATCAGTGTTACCAGGGACTGGAATATGCCCTCAGCATGATAGTGAGATTTGAAACAAGGGTCTTCTATTGGCCCTGAAGAGCAATTCCAGTGCTGAAGTCTTAGAAATATTTGAGTTTTCCAGAAAAGAAATAGTTTATTTTGTTGTTTTTTGTTTTTTAATATAAGCACCATAAAACAGTGTTTAGCCTCATTCATATAAATGGCTAAGTGGCGCAGTTATAGAAACCATCTAAAAACCATAACAACCTGCCTCCACCATCTCCTCCATTTCCAAAACTTCTCAGAAGTAGGATTAGGAGGCTATCCAGCAGTGAAAGTTGTTTAAGTTTGATAAACCTTAGAATTACCTATCTGATCTATGAGATGTAGGCATGGACCACAAGCTCTACTTAGTCATAATGTTCTCTTATGATAGGTCTTACATCCTGTGTTTCTCAAACATCTCGCAGTTTAAAATGTGCACAAACCTATGGGACAAGCAAGAAAGAGTGAAAGGAATAGACTCTTTAGTTTGAAAGGTATACAAATTACTTTAGGGGCACTTGTCTCTTTTTCTCTCTCTTCTCATCAGGGAAATATGGGGGGAAAAAAAGGGAAACTTAAAACCAGACACATTCCAGAAGTATTTTATTTGTTGTCTGAATTTATAAAATAAGGTACATGCAGAAAGAATGAAAAAGCAGGCAGGACAATTTTTGCTGAAAAACATTATGTTTTGATAGTTAAAGTGATTTAAATGAACAGTCATTCTTTTTTTTTTTCTAGTTTACATCAGGGTGTGGTAGAATGGTAAATGTGCTTTAACTAAACTGATTAATCAAGTGAGCTGTCATTCAGCAAATGACCAGACAAAAAGTGGAGCAGTACAGGCAAAAACGATCCAATAAGCTGATAATGGATCACAAAAATTCCTTGCCCTGAGAATCACCAAGGTCATTCTGTTAGCTATTGCTTGTCTTTAGAAAGGTCGTAGGGATACAACAGGGAAGACTAATTACTCTTCAAGCCTTAAATAACAGAGCATCCTTTAATGTTCTATGGACTGATTTTGTTGATATATACAGCTATAGGTTCGTCTAACTCTGGGAATTGCTGTCTGCTTACCTAGTGGATCACTCTGAGGATTGACCTTAAACCACAGAAAGGCATTCTCAGAAAGAAAAGAATATCCACACAAAATTAAATTCAGCAGACTTCCATCACAGGCAAGCCCTCAATACCTTTTCAATCAGCAACTCTTTTATGAAATTCGGTGGCACACGTTAAAAAAATTATTATCCAGTTCTTTATTTTCAAGCCATACTCAACTGCACATTTAAAAAAGAAGCTAATTATTTTACTTCTACTGTATTTTCCTTTAAGTCCTACATGTTCTAAATACATTTAAACTATCTTTAAAAATACAAAGTTCTGCCTATGTTCAAAGCAAGAGATCTCAAAGATGTTAATTAAACCTGAATGTAGAAATCCGTCATGTTTCATAAAATAGTTAGGAACCTAAACCTATTTGTCACTTACATAATTCTGAAAGTTCATTTCTACTACCATTACGAACAACTCAGGAAGAGAGTGCACTTTGAAGTATAACTATGATTGATTAGACTAAAGAAATTCCAGTGCTTCGTTATGTACTACTTTAATCTTTTGAAAAGTGAATGAACAGCAGATGGCCTAATAAAGACACTCTGTATGTTTGCCCAGTATGGATTTGCTCTGAAGGGATTCGTTCAACACTTTAGAGTACATATATTTGGAATACATCTGTCTTAGTCAAGACAGATGGCTAAAGGAAAGAGAAACTTCCAAACACTTGGAATTAATCCAGTGTGAGCACTGCTTCTGAATGAAATTTTAATGGGATATGACTATTGTTCTGTTAGTTTCTTGGAAGAATGCAGCTCTGAATAGTAGAGACATACATGATTTTGATGGCTACTGGACAGGACTATTCATGCTTCATTTTGAAATAAAAATATTGTTGTTAGTCGAGTTGGCCTGTTGATAAGGAAAGGTGTTTGTTTTTTAGTAGTGAATGCAGTACCGTTCATCACCCAAGCTGACTAAAATTAACCACGCCCATATAAAATGTATTTTTCCTATCCAGTATGAAAATTAAACTTGTTAATGTGAGACTTTAAAAATATGTGCATGTTATTTCAATCCCATGCAGTACCATATGTTAAATCACAAGATTCTTTTTAACTACTAATTTTAATATAATCTGCAAATTTGAAAGATCTGTGGTGTGTGGATCAGATTATGTATGATATTGCCTCTGCAATATATTCAGAAGCACGTCAGTCAAGCTGAAAAAGCAAGCATGACATATCCATACCAACTAAAGAGCTCTGTATAATGATGAATTATTTAGGAGTGTTTTAATTTTTGTATTAAGATGTTGCAGTTCAGGTGACATCTACTTTGTTGAAAAGCTGTCCATTTCAATAAGCTTCTCTGCTGATGTTGCTGCATGAGCATTCAGACTCTTTGGCTGTATTGGTCTCATGATGTTTCTAACTGCTCTACTCTTGTTTTCTGTTTTGCAGTAATAACAAGTAGTGGCTACAGCCCAAGATCAGCGCACCAGTACTCTCCACAGATATATCCCTCCAAGTTAGTGTCTGCACCTCTTCTAGTCTTTTATAGGGAGTTGACCTTGGATGTAGGCAGTTCTGTGATTTGTTGCAAACATGCAGAAGAAACAGAGAGAAAGGGAAATACTTAAGCCTCAGTACTGACTCCATTATAACTCAGTCTCCAACTTTTTTTTCCTTACACGTCTGCAGTCAGATCCTGCTCTGTGCAGTATGATATTGTTGCACAAGAAATACCCTTGAATAACTGCACATAACAGAAGGAAAAAAACAGACTATTATGTTCCCAGACATGAGCATCTTAACAGTGCTGGCAATGTATACAGACATATTTTGGAGAAGACAGTTTATATTTAGAAATCACAATTGCATGTGCAAGATGCATACTGAGGGGTAACCCTGTCACAGACCTTCCCAGTGCCAGCATTGCCAAACACTTCCAAACATTCCACAGTCTTGAACCACCCCTTCCTTCTCCTTCTCCTTCTCCTTCTCTGGTATCATAAGATTTAAAAATCAAATAAATTGGGTTAGCTTTTAATCTTTTTGGGTTTTTTTCAAGCCAATGGGCATTATTAGGAATAGAAAATTTCTTTCCCTTTTTCTTGAGGAAAACAAACCCTTGGACAATCACATGAATCCAGGAGTGGGAACTTCAGGAAAAAGCATTGAAGATGTTATATGAAACTGCTGCAGTTGGCAGTCTATTAGTTTGCTTGTCCTACTATGTGTTGTGCACAAAGGTGCTTCATTCCAGTATGCCATCTATTTGTTTCCATGTATTTGATACAACTACCTATGTGACTTTGATATAGAGAAACCACTGAAACTGTAGCTAATAAGGCTTTTTCAAGTTTCTTTAACTTGCATTCATATCATGATAACGAATATTTATTGATACAGAAAGTATGTGCCTGAACTAAGAACAGTCCACCTTATTCCACTTAAAACAGGTTTTGGCAAACTGTATCTGATACTTTTGGCCAAATATATTGCAAGGTTTAATAGAATTTTTAATCTACTGTAATAATGTATTGGCATCTAAATTAATGAGTAATCCTTTTCAGATAGTAACTGCTGCCAACTGTACTGAACTAATTAGAAAGAAAAAATAAAAAAAACCCCATAGAATCTGAAATTTAGTCATGGCTTTTAATGGTCAGGTTTCAGTTAGCGTAATTCTGCAGAGTGTGTTTATTCAACTCTTGGTCCATAAAGTCTTATTTGACTTACAAAACAATCCAAGACAAATGTTTCTCTATGTGTTTTTGCAACTCTGGAGGGCAAAAAATTTAAACTTGATTTTACTCAATCTCTCTATAAAACCCCAGTATTTATAAATAAAAGACCATTTTTATTTCCATTCAATTTTCCTAGACCATATTTTCCAAATGTTTAAAGCCCATCTGGTTACCCAAGTATTGCCATCAATATTTTTCATGCTGTTCTCAATGGGCATGATCCACCTCCTGTTGAAGCCAGAGGCTAAGTGTCTGTTGAAGCAGAACCATACCCAGAGGACATGATGTAGTAGCTTTAATATTCACCTCTGTATTTCCTTTATTCTTCTAATCCAAGCGTCCCTCCACTGGATTAAGAAAAAAACACGAGGGCTTTTCTGATTTAAGCAAACTGACCTTGGCTCAAAAGGGTCAAATCCATATAAAGCCATATAGCGGTGACACAGTCTGCCTAGAGCAGGACACAGTAGCTTAAGAATTAAATTTTAGTGATCAGACAGCACAAAATATTCGCCGTGCCCTGGAGAACGTGAGCCAGAAGGTTTTCAGTTTATTTCAGTGGGTGATGGAATAAATCCCAGAAGAGGAACAGTTGGCAGAATAATGAACTGCCTTTGGACATCTTTTAAACCTTTTTCTTTACTTAATTGCTTGAATCAACATACAAAGTATTTGTTGCCACAGTAATGCTATTTTTCCTGATATTTAGGCCCTATCCACACATTCTTTCTACACCAGCAGCTCAAACAATGTCTGCCTATGCCGGACAAACCCAGTATTCAGGAATGCAGCAACCAGCCGTCTACACAGCCTACTCACAGACAGGACAGCCGTACAGCTTACCCACTTACGGTATTTGACTTCTTATTACTTCTCCTTATGTAGAAGTAAGATCAATGTTGACATGAATGTTTTTTGATTGTTTTTTTCAATGTTATTTTCCCAACTGTAATAAAGTATTTTAAAGAATCAGTTGAAAATTAATTTCTTATACAGATTTGGGTGTAATGTTGCCAGGCATCAAGACGGAAAGTGGGCTCTCACAGACCCAATCACCACTGCAGAGCGGGTGCCTCAGTTACAGCCCAGGGTTTTCCACCCCCCAGCCAGGTCAAACACCCTACTCTTATCAGATGCCAGGTGAGTAGTCACCGCCATCAAGGCTAGTCCCATCCCACTGCTACTGACAGACCCCTCTTCCCTCACATTTATGATATATTTTCCATTCATTTTTGTTAACTCGGGCAAGTACACTTATCATTAGTGGCTACTTTTGCCTCTAGAATTTAAAGCTAAACATTTTTTTCCAGTACTGATATGCATATATGTATTCATTTTGGTCATCTGTTAATTTAGATCTGGTCATGCAATGCAGTCACTATTTGTACCTTCACTTTTTTATGGGGTGGAATCACATGACAGGACCGGAAACATTTGTTGTATTTATTAACGTACACAAGTTACTTTTCCTTGTTTCCATGTTTCTGAGTATGACAGCATTTGATACTTGTTTCTCTTTGGTTTAACATAACTTGTTAGAATTTCTCCTTAATTCATATTCATACATTCATTTATTATTCGATTATAAATTCACTTATTACCCTTAGATCCCTTACATCACTGATAGCCTGTTTTATTTGGATAATTTTTAAGCTTCTTATACAACAGTTAATCTTTTAGATATTACAAATTACAATATGAATCGCCTGTCATGTTGAAAACAAGAACGTGCCTCATTCACCTGGATCATTAAAATATTCTTTGAAAAGTTTTTTGTTTCGTACATGAACATACAGTAAAGTGTTAGAACTTAGAATTGAAGGCAAAAGAGAAAAACAATACTTGAGGAGAGGTGAGACACTGCAATAAACTGAAAAATGCTTTCTTGATCAGTGTAATGATTTACTGCCAGTATCTTCCTTGCATGGTGTGAAGAGTATGAAGAATGTATGTTTGTATGTGAGGAAATAGCATTGCATTTCTTTTAAAGGTTTGTTAGAGTGCTTTGTTATTTAAACAGAAAATAAAATGGTGTTGTACTCCTGATTCATCTATATCTTAATATGGGATATTGTATTTAGAATTTTATTTTGATTTGCAAACAAGTTCTCAGAGTTAATTGTATTTTTTAATTTTAGGTTCTAGTTTTACACCATCATCCACTATTTATGCAAACAATTCAGTTTCAAATTCTACAAACTTCAGTAGTTCACAACAGGTATGAATATTAACATTTTTGTTTGCCAGTTACAAAACAATTTATATAACTCTGATGACTGCATGTTATTTTAATTTAGATCTGTTATGCTGAATTAGATTCACTGTGGAAAGCTGTTTTCTGTGGAAAGCCATCAAAATCGCAGTGGAAGCCTAGCTGCGTCCTTTGGCATTTAAATACTTCAGCAACTTCTTCATAGTCCTTTAGTAAATATCCTTAAATTTAAAAAATGTTAAATATCCTTAAATTAAAAATAACATTCTAAACTAAACACCCAAAACTCTTGCAAAAGTCATATGATTGCACGCTTCGAAATACTTAATGGAAAAATCACTTGTAACTCTACTTAATTAAGTACTCTGCTGCATTTGCTGTTTTAGGATTATCCATCATACACAGCTTTTGGCCAAAATCAATATGCACAGTATTACTCAGCATCAACATATGGTGCATATATGACCTCAAACAACACGGCTGATGGCACTTCATCATCATCATCAACCTATCAGTTACAAGACTCTCTCCCTGGCCTGACTAGTCAACCAGGTACAGATCTACATTCAGGTGAAAACAATTTTTGTATTTTATTCTGTACTTGTGTAAAGACAAGATTTCAATATTAACCTTTTTGAATATTGACATTTTAAGCTCATGCTTTTCAGAAAAATGAAACCAGCCACAATAAGCTTTTGTTTGTTTGATTGTTTGTTTGTTTGTTTAGTTAGGAAACCTGTCTAGTTTGTTTATTACTTTACAAATAAAGCTCTTTGCAGACTGAGATGGTTGTCTATGGAGGAAGAAGTTTTCAAAAACATTATAACAGTCTGGTAGGCATCTGTTAGTACCGAAAACAACTGTATGGTAACAAACCTTAAGTAAATTCTGAAATAAAAATTCAATGTGCTCTCCTATTACTCACATATATCCACCTACATGTTCTGAAGTATCCCTGTAAAGAATTTAAAACAAGACAATGTTCTTTTAATTATGCCCCAGTCATGCTAGCAAGAGTACATGGGCTTTAGTGAAATGTATACAAGCCGTGTTTGCTATTTCATAAATTTAGGTATCTAAGAATAGAGCAATCTGTTATTAGCACAAGTGTCTTTAAGAAAATAGCTCTGAAGTAGTTGAAGTTGCAAAAGCAATGTTCTCAGGAGACACTGGGAGGCTGAATTTGCCTGCCCAGCCCTGCCCCCTTGTGCACATCCACCACAGTAGTTTATTACACAGCTGTATTCCTGGGACACTGCTGCCAGGTAACAGCAGTTCTTCATTTTTTATTCGTTGTCATTATAACACAGTTCACAGTCATTTACCTGCTCCATTCTACATGCTGTGAAAACATAAATGTTAATATGGATTTCTTTCTTTATTTCTTTCTTTTTTTTTACATGCTAGATTTTCAAGTTTCCTAACATCTCACCAATTTATTCCCCCCCCCCCCATTTAATATAAATGGGACTGAAGTAAAGAAAAGTTAAAATTATGTATTTGAAATTATGCATAGTATAGTACAGAGCTATGAAGATCATGCTGGGCTAGTTTAGGAATTCACAGTCACAGTCAGATGAGTGTGATATCCTTACTGAGTGAACAGTGCCTGGTTTTTCATGCTCACTTTCCTGTATTGTTTCTGTTATATAGGAAGTTCTTAAAGATCTAGCTTAGTATTATGCCTCATAATCATAACTTAAGTAGCCTCCTAAGGCTGCACGTAGCATCTATGGGAGAGGTTATCCATGGCCAGCCACCTAGCTCAGCCCTCTTAGAGCAGTCTCTTCCAGGGACATTGGCTTCACTCATGCAGCGTGGGTAGGGTCCACCTTACCCACAGACAGTGAGAAGTTATAAAGAGACTAACAAACTGGGGTTTGGATTAGGCTCTGAATAGGTGGGGGAAATGTGCTTTAATCACAAAATCAGCTCATTGCATATATCTTCCTATTTCTCATCCTGGCAACTGCAACATCTCACTGAAAAGTATAATGGAAAAAAATAATGTATTATAATAATGAATTTGTACAAAGAAAGAGTAATACTGAAAAGTAAAACAAGGCCTCGTACTTCATATAAGCTGTTTCAATTTACTAAAAATGTTGAAATTTTAATTGCATGAGTTTAAATTCTTCCTTGCCAGCTGTATTCCTCAGGCTGATTTTTAAAGAGTGTGTGTGTGTGTGTGTGTGTGTGTGCCTGCATGTTTGTGACATGGCGTAGTCTTGTACGGAATGGATATGGGGTAATACACATTCCCTTGTTTTTTGATGAAAATGTAAAATGTTATTCAGTAGTCTCAGAACAAAAATTTAGGAAAAACAAAGCTAAAAGGTAACTTGAAATCAAGTGAAATGTCCAACGGTTGCAGGACATCCATAACAGACACAAATCATAAGTAAAATATTTTTAAAAGAATATGAAGTGCACTCACAAGTGATGTTTTGATAATTGTGCATGTCCCGTGTACTTTTCCTTGTTCCTTTTTGAGAAGATGACAATGTTTCCCATAGTGTCTCTTCCTTGTGTATCTGTGTTCCCTAGAAATGCTGCATAAATTTACCATGTATTACAAACTCCTTTAGTACTGAATAGCATTGACAAAGAAAAGGAATCTTACATAGCTTGAACAGGTTGAAAAAATATTGAAGGCTTTACATCCATGAAACAGTAAGGATTTTTCTTGTCTGTGGATTGTTTAAGCATATGAACTTGCTTTTCTGTTGAGCAGGTTATGCATCTGAACTTAAAAATCTGCCCACGTACTCCTTATTTCTGTGAAGTATTACATTGATCATGTGACCTTCTGCTGAGAATACATGACAACACCCACTTTGAGAATACATGACATGCCTGTGCCCTTCTGTGTAGTTGTAAAAATAAATTTCCATCAGTGAGGTGCAGTGTCTTGGAGATCATTTCAGATACAATAAATCATACTGCAGAGCTTCCGCGCTCACCATGTTCACTTGCTGTCTAACAAGACTTTATTGCTCAATCCTTAAGACTTACTCCAACTGAAATGTAAGATTAAACACAGAAAGGCACTTCACTCTATCTCTGCTAGCTATTAGTTCAAATAACTAATCAAAGCCTCTAGTACTCTCCATAGATACAAGGTTTATCATTTTCATAATAAAACCCCATCAGATCAAGAATTAATATCAGTCACAATTTTATTTATTTACCTAGTAAAGAAAATGAGATGGAAATTGGAATAGACTTTACTCTTTCTGCTACTCATAACAAGCAGTAACACATTACAAGCCAGGAAAAAAAAAGATTCCCCATGTTGAAGGCATCTTGTGGCTGCTCTTTCTGGTAAGAATGTGTAACAAAAGTCAATTCATAAGTAGAGTATGAAGGGACTCAGTAGTTCATCCATCCCACATCTGTGTAAGGCTCAGCTTGTTACTCTTCCCATGGACTTCTGTGTTTGCATGTGCCCGCTCTACATTAAGATTTTTAAAAATGCACTTGTTACCACAGAGTATCTGTGAGACAAATAGGTATCTCCAAGGACACTTCATCTCAAACTGAGATAAGACAGATGAATCCTGAGATAAGGTCTCAGGACACAAATACATTTGAGTACCTTTGATGAGTACATGAGTACATTTAGTCTAGGGCACATAAAATTCTAGCAGAGGAAACAGGCCTGGGTAAAAGCTTCATGTTTAAGCACTTCACTTTCATATGTCCAGAGCTAGGTGAGGTTAATCACTGGTAGGATATTAACTCCAATTCAGTTACTGGGATGCAGCAGAGCTTCATCTCTCTTAATTTGGTACCCACAATGAAGTCACCCTTTGCACCTTCTCAAGGAGATGGCATTAGGCCTATATGCACACAGTATGTCCACTCCTCTTTTCTTCTGCTTACACGGCACAACTGCAGGGAGGAGGGGATGTTCACATCAAACTACAGGTGGGAAACAATGTTCTGGATATGAAAGACCACCTCTGTTTGTAACAGTGGTACTGTAACTCCCTGTCCTCTAACTGGAGCTGCTGCAAGGTCTCCATGGCATGGAAGGCTTCATGCTGGACATGAACCAGTGTATGAATATCTGTGATAAAGAGGAAGTTCCATGTTCTGATTTTAACATTTTCCTCTTGCTTTATTTGATCTCTGATGCTGCTCATAGTTCCAGTGGGAGGAGGCTGTGAAATATATTTATTAGGTATGTGTTGAATATTGGAAAAGCTAAAAAATTTCAAACTTTGCAGTAAAAATTTCTATCTAATATGAGCTGCAGTAGGAATTCTTCATGAGGATGATGTTTTCAGTACTCTTTGGTACTAGAATTTCTCACATTCTTTTATGTTACATGGCTAAATTTTTGATAAGTTATCCTTTTATCAGCATTGACTTCATTTCTAAAGCAAATGGAGGACAAGAAAATGCAGTTGTTCCTTTAGCCTGCTGTTGGTAAAAATCAAATCAAGCAATTAAGCCTACAGTTGTTCAAAAAAACATGCACTACTGACTTCTGCAGTTCTAAAATAGATGCATAGCTTGCGTTCAAGTAAGAGACAGCTGACCATTCTGATCTAGAGATTAACGTAATGAAATAAAGTTGGCTTTAAATATCTAGAACTTACAAGGTACAGTGATTAGTTACAGTACTGATTAATGGATAATTATGCAATCATGTACAGCGTTGACCTAAGCAGAAGCCTGGGGCAACTGGTAATGGCTAAGGCTAAATGAAAATTGAAGTTATTTACTTCAGTTGTTGGATACTTTCAGAAAAGATTTAGAACAGGCCCTTTTTTATATTTTATTTTTGGTAGATTAGAGTAAGCACGGTCATTGAGAACAGATGTTTTAATACATTACTGTAGAAATGAATCTTAATTTTCTTGTAAATTGTTGAAATGTTATAAATATGAAGGCTTTTGTGGTAAGAATGTAAACATTCATCTTAACTTATTTAATTTTTGCCTTTTCATTTCTGGGATTTTGTTTTGGAATATTTTTTCCACTCTGTCAGAAAAATCTAGGAAATTATATTTTCATACAGAACTCTTGCACTCAGAACTTCTTTTGAAGCCAGTGTAGCTTTTCACTGCACAAGGATTCTGGTTGTGGTGAAGCTTTTTTTTTTTTTTTTTTTTTCTTTTTTTTTTTTTTACATTTTTACATTTACCAAAGTATATTTTGCTGTTCTTCTTATGAGGAAAGAACTAAGATAATGTGACCTTATTGATCGCTCCACTGCCTGCAGTGTCCTTACTGACATCAACACCGAGCTGGGAATAGAAATGATTAGTCAACAAGAACTCTCTCTGTTCTGTAGGGACAAAGTCAAAACAGCATGGGAACATTATTCATTTGGTATTATTATTGCTGCTAAATTTTCCCATCATTTCTTGGCAAGTAAGAATTTTATCTGAAAAAGAAAGTGCTATAGAATGCATATTATATGCATATATCCAAATTTGTACAGACCTACCTAAAATGATATCTGGAATAAATTCTCAAATCGCAGCCCTGAAAATCTCTTCTTAGCTGCTGCCTGAAAGTTTGGCTCTGTTCTGCAGAAGCAGAGAAGCACATTGGTTTCACGACACTGAACTAGTCATCACCTAGTTTGAGAAAAAAGTAGTAGGATCTTCTTCCAGGCAATAGCAGAATAATTTCGGTGATTTCCTGGGAACTGAGAGACACATATTTGATTTCCTCCTGTTTCATGGAGAATTCATCACCTTCCACTTGGGAGTACAGGGATGTGGATTCTTGGTCATGAAAATATGTTTTTATACTTCATATATAGAAGTTGTTCAGTCAAATACACCTGTGTGTCCTGGAGAAGGCAGTGGAACCTAGATATGTGCTTCTCCAGGTAAATGTCCTAACCATTAGGCTTGGGAATTAACTTTCTTCTTGTTCTCTTTCCTTGAATCTTAAATTCTTTCCTGACAATGTCTAGAGCTCCAACTCAGGAATGTGGTATTATGGGCTTAAATTTTATTCTTCCAAGAAATACAACAGTATTTTTCCAGTCAAGATATATAAATATATCTTCCCAGTGTATTTATTTTAATAATCTTCTGTATGTGGTTCACTGTAAGGGATAAATAAATGATGGAAGAGATTAAGAATTTAAATACTGTGTTACATTATGCACAGATTCTTCATTGAGACTGCAGCCTATTTTTTTTTCTTAGAGCCTGCTAGATTAGAGTTGTTTTCTTTGTTATAGAGGAAGAATGAGGTGAATGACTCGGGGTAGATCAGAGAAACATTCAACCATTCACACTGGAAGTGACCTCTGTGGATCACTTGGTTCAACCCACTCATGGACAAGCAACTAAGATCATGTTGCTCAGGGCTATGTCAAATGGAGTTTTGAGCATCTCCAAGGATGGAGAATGGACAGCCTCTCTGGGCACCTGTTCCAGCAGACAATAGCTGATGCTTAGAAAACAACAAGTATGGCTTCACCCTCTTTCTGGTACCAGTCAATGTTTTGACTTCCCTCTGCCAATTTATGGGCAGAGTTAAGGTGAAAAAAAAAAAAAAAAAAAAGTGAACCCTACTAAAGAGCAGGTGACATAGGAGGGGGAGATGAAGCAGGAAGCTGACTGCCTCTTCCAGTGTGTGAACATGTGCCAAAGGGTGTTCCAGTAAAAGTAACACAGGACTTGGAAATAAGTTTAGCTGAACTCCAAACATGGGAAGTAAACTACTTAAACTAAAAGGCACTTAATATTTTGAGAAGTCACTAGTGTGACTTTTAAAATACATCTTTGGATCTAGCAATATTTTACATGTGCTCATGTGTATTTCTATATATGTCTACACATGTATATGTGTCATGTTAATCTTTCTCTTATTCTGCTAAGTTTTATAACATTTCCTTGGTAAAGTCAAAAGTGTATGTGGCATCTGCAGATTCCATCTACGTAAGACAAATGATGTTATCACTCATTTTATACAACTATTTTAGGTGCATCTTGTGGTTGGGTTTGCATACAGACATGTCTAGCTATGAGGAAAAAAAAAAAAAAAAAGGTTTATTATTTAAAAATCCAGTACTAATTTTGCCATGAATTATTGACTTTACAGGGGAGTTTGACACAGTGCAGAGCCCCTCCACGCCAATCAAAGATCTTGATGAGAGAACATGTAGGAGTTCTGGGTCAAAGTCTCGGGGTAGAGGGCGGAAGAATAATCCATCACCCCCTCCGGACAGTGACTTGGAGGTATGCCTGTGGTAATTGATGAATGGTAATGTGAAGGTTTCTTCTGATGAAAAGTAAATTCTGAAAACTACAGCTGTGGAAATAGCTTGAGGCATTTTAGAGAGCATCATGGACTCAGTCTCACTAACTGAGTGTAACAGATACTAGTTGCTGTTTTAACATACACGTAGCATTATTGTTCTTTATGACGGAGTTAGGCAGAAAAGTAAATGTGATTCAGCCTTGCGCTTTTTAGCTCTAAGATTGTGTGTCTTTCAGTTTCTCATGCAATAGAACCACAAAATTGTGAGACTTTTGTATTCAAAATTGTCACATTTTCTTTCAGTTTTTGAATAGGAAATCTCAAATATGTTGCTCAGCTTAATTACATGTATTTATGAATGCAGTGTAAATATGCAGGAACATCTGGCCATAGCCTTTCAAATACTTCTGCACAAATTTGTCCTTGTGCTTGTAAGTCGTGTCAGTGGATTTCAATGAGGCAGCTTACATCAGTGAAGTTATGGCTGTGCTTTAGTATGTGCAAGATCAGTGCCTTAGTGAAGAAATATATCTGCCTAATATATGGGGTGACGATTTAAAACACAGGTGACCTCTTAGCAACAGAGTAATTATAGCCTTATGACTCCTGTGTTAGCAGTGCACTGCCTTACAGTGACAGGAGGAGGAGGAGGAGGAGAAGGAGGAGGAGGAAGTGGAGTGCCTGTGCCTGTGTGAAACAATCCAGTTCTGGCATCAGGGCAATGTGCTCCCCACCAGTGTGGTGTGTCCCCTGGAGCCACCAGACTGGCACTGGGAGCAAGCAGCCCTGGCCAGCCCAGCTGCTGTGCCTTCACTGACCAGCTCCAGGTACAGCAGAAGGCAAAGACTGTCACTGAGACTTGGCCACACAGATGCTCCTGGGGTGACAGGGTGGGCACTGAGTGTAAATGCCATTGCTTTTATACAGATTTTTTTGCTTTTCAAAGGATTTAACTTCTCCAGTGAAAACACTAACATTTTACATTTCAGTTTTCCTGTTTCTTTTATAGCTTACCAGTGAAAATGAACCTTTCACTAATATAAGGAGTTTCTTTCCCTTTTTCTTTTTTATTAGAATAATCTGTTTTATCCTACAGTATTATTTAAATTCTCTATGACATTATATGTGGCATATAGCACTTCTACCCCAGACTTAATTTTAGTTATGCAGGAGAAATAAAGAACCTTGAATCAGTAAGACTTGCAGAGAAGTATCCCAGAGTATTGTTTATCCTTAACTTAACAATTATGTTTGACTCCTATCATGTTTCTGAAATCTGTGTTATGCAGCTTTTTTGAAAAGCTTTTTAGGGGACAAATAAGAAAAGGTTGAAGAGTTCAAAAGTGACTCTCCTCACTTTTTGCCATGCATCATACACTCACTGCTCTTGCTGATTTTCAGAGAAAACCTGCTTGGTTAAGCAATTAGTTAAACTTTAGGACTGAGTTGACTTTTTGCCCCCCAGGTGGGACACTGATGTTATTTGTTTACTAATACTGTCCTCACTTATTTTTTCAGCGTGTATTTGTCTGGGATTTGGATGAAACAATCATAGTTTTTCATTCACTGCTCACAGGATCCTACGCACAGAAGTATGGCAAGGTACGTGAGCCATGAATTCTGCATCGATTCACTATATCAGAGCTATCTATCTGACCTGCATATGTACGTGTTTTAACCTTCCATGTTCATGGCTTGGGTGAAAGTAGAGGGAAAGTGTACAGTAAACCCCATTTTCAGAGGAGTGAAAGCATGTAAAGTATAAGAGTATAAAGTATAAGAGGGGTTCCTTAATATGAAAAAGTCAAGGAGAGAAATGAGACAGAGACCCTAAGCACAATATATGAAGCAGGGCTGAAGCAGACGCTGTAAATGAGGGAAGAGTTTATAAAGGAACAAGAATGAGATCCTGAGGTACGTTGGAAGACACATTGCAGGGAGGCAATAGAGGTTATGGACAAATAGAAATAATGGACTATTTGGATGCATAGAGGAAGAACTAAGAAATAAACTGGAGTGATGGGTGAATTTATGGGGAAATTCATGAAGCAGAATGAGCAAGTAAGAGACAGACGTGTTTCAACGCCAGCTGCAGATGTTATTCTTTGACTCCCCAGCTTTTCCGTTAAATCTTTGGTTCCCTTGGCTGGCTCTGGGATGACTAATGCCGGGGAGTGAATCCTTTTCCCAAGCAGACAGTTGTACTCATCCTCTCCCCTCCGATGAGATCCAGAAGCAGTTCAGGTCATGCAGCAGTGAGCAGGAGTGCAGGAGGAAGAGCAAGGGAGGCAGAGAGGTACAGTTGCAGCAGGAGCTTCCCTGCTGAGTCAGCAGCAAACCTCCCTGGTCTGGTGGTGCAAACCCAGATTATCATGCTTGGGCAAGGGAAGAAGGGACTGGTGGGAAGACCAGCTAGGAGAGGTAGAGCTAAAGGCCTGGACAAAACAAAAAAATAGGGCAAATTATGGAAAGGAAGAAAATGGACAGGGAGAATGTGGAGATGTACATACGTGGATGTAGGTTTTCTAGGTGTTGTGTCATTCAAGTTTAATTAATACAAAGCTATTTCTTTTTAAGAACATGACCATGTCCATACAATGTCAGACAAAGGGCTTGTTTAGCAAAAGTTTCCTGCCTCTTTATTCTAGCCAGAATCAGATGCTCAAGAAAAGGATGTGAGAAACAGTACATGAAATAGATGCTTTCCACACACACCTCCCCAGCCAGTTAAAGATGTCCAAAGGCAGACCTGTGGATTATAACCACAAATGGGCCAGTCCTCCCTGTTTTGAGACAGCTGTTTGTGGTTATTAAAAGAGTAGCTAACAGGAAGACTCACAGGCCTAGACAAAAATATGAATTTTTGGAATCCTAAGATAAGGGTAGTTATTAATGTCTAGTAAAAAATCAGTCTTGCTTGTTTTGTAGCTTCACGGCGACAAATCAGTGCATGTTTCAGTACTCTGTCAAAAACTCCTCTTCTGCTGTTTCTCAAACACTGTAACAACAGTGACTTTGTCAGAACCATTTCTAACTTGTAGTTATCAAAACAAGAGAGAAACCTAGCTGAACATCAACATCTATATCACTTTTGAGTGTAGCCCATAGACTGCCACAGAACTTGCTGAACTGCCCCAGTGATATAGTCATTCCTTTTATCCTTTTTTTGATTGTGCCCTTAGGATGTTTACATAATATCACATAGTATGTGGTTAAAAAAATCAGAGCACATTTTGTAGCTCACAAACATCCATGAATAACCTGGAAAACTGTCTTAGAGACAGCAACAGAAATGTAATTCCTCTTGGTTTCTCACTTTATGAGTAAGATATTTGAAAAAATCCCAGTACCTCTGTTCTTTAAGAGCCCATCTGCTGCTACAATTGACTCGGTATGTAGAACCCTACGAAACAGGAATAACATTTTAACAGCCAGTAGTACTGACAGCAGATAAAGTTGGCTTGTATAAACTAAGAGTATCTAAAGGGCAAGTGAAATTATTGTAGTTATACTGCTGAGATCAGCATCAGTAAACAAATGTCATGGACAACCATGAAGCAAAAGGAGAGGAATTTTTAAGTAAAAACCTTTTTCTTCTGTACTGATAGGTGACATCTATACAAGTACAGAAAATGCAAAATAAAAGTATTAGATTTTTTCCTTCCTGCAGTGACTACCTTTACCATATTTATAGAGAACTGATTGGGAAGGTAATGAGAAATTGCCAATGAATATGATATATATATATTTTATAATATATATAGTTGACTATAGAGGCTAGAGCAGTAAGAAAGGATATACAGGGAGAGTTTATCATAAGTAGGCTTTAACTTTTGCATATCATTGAAGTGTTGCCTGAACTTAAAATGGGATGTGTCTGAGCCTAAGTGCCTAAGAGGTTATACATGGGAGAAGGGAAAGATAGCACAGCTGGACCTCAGTCAGTCTCTGGTGCATGACCTCTTTAGCAGATGTGGCCCTTATCTTTTCTGCATATGATTTCCATCTGCAGACAAGGTCTTAATCCAGGCTGAAGTTGGGATTGTTATAAAAATTGGGTTGCTGTGACAGTAAACAGTCCATGAATTGTGATGTTCTCAGCAGAAGTCTTGTGAGCCCAAAGGTCTTTCAAAAGTGTTGAGAGAGCTGTTTATCCAGGAAAGGTGGTATGAAATTGTTACTTCACAATGAAAAAAAAAAAAAAATCAAGGTAGTGTAAAATAATGGTGATACTAAATTATTTAATTGCAATTATTTACTATCTGATTTTAAAAAATAAAGGTGTGTAATGCCACACAGATGCTCAGTTGTGTGATATATTTTGTGAGCCCATTTTGTATAACTTAATCAGATTACTCCCAAAAAATAAACCACAAAAAAAAAAAAAATCCAGAGGAAAAGGTTTTCCTCTTCCCCCATATTTAAATATTCTAAATGAGATTAGTGAGTCTTTAACATAAACATTGCTTTAAGGGAAGGCATCCTCTTATACCAAGTGTGCTCACTTTTTACTTTCAAGGGATGAGATGCTGGGTTTAGAGCTAGTTTTAATGTACAGACAAGCAAGGATATTCACCTTCAGTTCTTTCCCATCTACTCTTTAACATGTAAACTTTCATTCCCCTTTTCCACTAGCTCTATTTCTTGCAGCAACCAGATGAAACCAAAACATTCAGAAATTAGTCTTTAAATCTCTCTGCTCTGCTGCAATTCAGGCTGTGCAGGGAATATGGTGAGGGGAGGTGCAGCATGTGGAGGTGGCCATCACGCTGTTAGGGCCAGGCGAAGGGACCAATGTATGAGTGCAGGAGCACTCCAGAGCTGCAGTGGTACCAGGAGACAATTTCTCTTTCAAAAGTTTGACAAGTGGTTCAAGTCAAAGAGAAAAAGGAAAAGCAGACCAGCATTGCCATAGGCAATGGGGGCATTCGTTGGCAGAGATTATGTAGGAAGGCCTGGATCTAGCAGGCAAGTTTCATGTCATATATTTGTCAAGAGAACAGATTTCTGAAGCTGAGAATGGAGACTCTCCTTGCTATATACTTGTCCAGGACTTTGTGTGGTGTGATAATTATTTAATTTCAGAATTATGTAGGTCTATTATAATAACCATGTTAAAAACAAAAGTAGTGATTTGCTGAAAGGTTTAATTTGTTGGATGCAGCTGTAAGCATCTCATTTAAAACACAGGGCAATTTGCTGCTTTTTATCTGGGCACCAGTAGATTAGAGCTTTAAAATCCACTGAAGTGGGATAGATTGAGCCAGAGGCTGGTCAGTGCATCACTTAAACTTACCCAGAGCAATATTCTGTGGCTTGCTGTTTTCTACCTGTGGGTGTTTCTGTCTGACTTTTGGTATAGTGGTTATTTTATTGAGCTGGTCAGAGCTAGCATAAAAAAAAAATAAAAACTACACTACACCTCTGTTAGGTTTCAGGGAAACCATGCTGCCTCCCAGCAGTAAGGCTGCCTTCCAGCAGTAAGACTACCTCTCATTGTTCAGCTCGTTTGCTCATCTGCTTCGTACTTCATAAAACCAGTAGATTTCTATTTTTAATTATCTACTGCAGTAGCAAATTATGAACATTTGAGCTGTTATACTATGACTTGTGTGGCTGCTGATGGTTTTTGCAGCTGAGCACCAGTTGGCAGATATAGTTTTCTACAACGTTGAGTGCTTAAGTGAGGATTTGTTGAGGTGACAGGACATGTGTTAGGAGATGTCATCATCTGTTAAAAGTTTATGAGATGCATTCTTACTCCCTGTGAGCAGTGTGTATTCCTTGTTCCATTACATTCCAGTTAGTCTTGCTGATTTGAGGCTGATTAAGCTGGAGTTTTGTCTACCTCCAAGCATTTATGTTTCATTCATTTCTCACAGGTAAATCCAGAGGGCAAGGATGCCCACATAAATTCTGTGACTCAAGGTACAACTGGTTAAAAGAGTGAAAGTCCCTTGTGACCTTATAAGGGGAAAGAATGTGATTTCCAGGTGCAAACATCAAAACACTTGATAATCAGTTTTGCATATTTTTGATAGCATTGCCAATAACAGGAAGTTGTTGAGGAGGCCACATTAACCTTGTACACTTCTCTGGAAAGGGCTCAGAACCTTTTATTGCTCTCTCTCTACTTGTCCAGTCATTAAACTGAAAAAACTGTCACCATTAGCACCCATTATGACATTCCCAAATTCACTCATAAATATGCTCTTGTCCACTCATATTAATAGTGCATCTCTCATGACCTCCAGTTGTCCTCTCCATTCACTCTGTCATTGTCCAAGACCTCTGAGTCCAATTTCCTACCACCTTCTAGGGAGCGTGGAACAGAAACTCCCTATGGAGTATGTGAGTTTTCCTTCATCAGCCACCAGATAATGGTTATTAAGAAGAAATATATTCCCTTCCTCCGTTGCCACTCACATGAAGCTCTCCTGGGAACAAGTATCCCCTATGAGAGAGAGAGGGCTGAACTTAAATCTGGGATTCCTACACAATGTAGGGAAGTGTCTTTCAGCTAAAAATATTGGTCCTTAACTTAAGAATTTCCACTTTTTCCAGAGGTTGTTTTTGTCGTAAGTCTGTTCAGGACTATGCTACCCATTGAAAATCTATTCTTATAATACTATTCATACATTTTGCTTGTTTTCTTGCTTATTTTCAAGGCTTCATGCATACAAATTCCTGTCCTAATGAATCTACCTGACAGTCTATTTATCTATTTTTTTTTTCTGAGATTTTATAAAGTTTGTTGGGTTTGTATTATTTTTCTATGAAATTAAATGATTTTGAATATCTTGTGCTGAAACCTGACCTTCCAAGACAATATTAAATAGTTTCCTTCCACTAATGGACACTGAGTTTTTGGGGCTTTGTTCCAGTCACTTTCCTCTTGGTCAAAACATTTAAATATTGGTCCTCCTCTAGTATTTTTACCTAGTCTCCCAGGAGGCATTCCAGTGGATGGACCAGTCTAGTACAGAAGTCCACAGACAGACAGTCTGGCTCCAGTTTAGTGCCTTCATAGTAACGTTACTAAAGTCATTTGTATTTTAGTATACAGTGCTGTAACTGGTCTTGACTCGTTTGCATGCTAATGATATCTGGCTAAAATCGTGCCTCTGAGGGCCAGAGAGTTGTGCTTCTTTATTCTGAAAATTATCTGGGGAAAACTTCCAGATTTGTTTCTTTATTATTGTTTCCTCTTTTGTGTATGCTTGTGCAAAGTAGCATAAAATACCATTTTGGCAGAAGTTCAGTCTGCCTTTTATTCAGTTTCCTAATTTTCTGTGCTCAGTTATGTATCAGCTGGACGTGTTTCTTGCTTTCTTTTTGGCACTCAGTTCTTTGTGCCACTTGAGTCAGTCTGCAACTTCTGCTTCAAGTTGAAAGACAGTAAAACGATGATTGGGATGTTACTCTACATTGTGCAAACATTGTAAAACCACAAGACCCTGACAAATCTGCTTTCTCTGTCTATTTTTGTACCTGAGGGAATGAACTTAGTATGGCAGGAGCTAGGTCGTGGTGTTTAATTCTTGTTAAACAGTTGTGGTGCAAGTTTTGGCCAATTTATTACAGGAAGAATTGTTCATGTCTTGAAAATTCAATTCTAGTGACTCTTCTTAGCAGAAGTGTTTATGGGGAGTTCCCAGACTGATTTCATGCTAAGCTGAAATTAATTCTCTTTGCTTTATTTTATTTTACGTATGGTACCTAGCAATATCCCACACATGCCTTCCTCAAAACAGGAACATAGGAAATCCCATTTTAACAGTAATAAAGTCAGGCATAGTTGGTTACAAAAATACTACTAATAAGAAAATCATAAAAGCTTTGTCACGTTTATGTCTTTCAACTATATGAGGCAAGGCAGGAAATTGTGATACATAGTTGGTAGTTTCTGTAAAAATAAATTGGATTATAATGGAATATGTTACAGCAAATTTCCGCATTTAAGTCTGCTTCTACCCAGGAAGGGGAAAAAAGAGGCTGAGAATCAAAAGCCTGAGATTCCAGTCTTGGAAGCACTCCAGTGAATAACTTAACTCACATAAATAATAATGAGTTACCACCTGTGCATAAAGTTATGCACATGCCCTAGCGTTCGTGGGATTGAGGTAAAGAAACATATTGCAAATACTCTTTATTATATTGTCTCTAGGAAGTAAAAATTATAATTTACTGTGCGCAGAAAAAAATGCTACAGAAAGGAGAGAGAAATGCATGTTTATATGTGATGACATTTTGATAAAAGCATTACAACTTGATGAGGAATCTCAAGAGTCGAGAGTATTTTGATGATTTGTGTTCTAAGTATCTTACATGAGTTTTTTCAAATCTGTTAATGTGTGTTCTTTAATCATCCCCTTGGAAAACTGTCCTTTTCACTTGCTGCTGTATTCAGCCATGTGACTTTCAGATTCAGTGAACGTGACTGCAGACTACGTAGGGTATGAAGTTATGTTACTAAGCTCCGCATTTGGTTTTTACTTCTGAAAGGTAGTCTAAGCCAGTTCGAGGGTCAACATAAAAATATTTCCTGTCATTGCCAGAGAATTTGGTCTAACTTCAGATCATTACAATTTCTTGTACACTATTCTGCCCTTTAAGTCTGACTTTTTCATGAGCAAGGGTCAAAATATGTCTACGTTTCAGATTTTACTATTAGTTTTTAAGTGCTTGAGGGCAGAAGCCATCTTTTATTCTGTCGTTGTGAAGGCCTGGAGTAGCAGACGTCTGATCCTGATTGGGAAGCCTTTGATCCTAATACTAACAAATGATCATTTGATGTTTTCCATGATTTTGCTGCCAGGTGCTGGTAAACTTTTAGACTTTTAATCTCAAGGTATTTAAGAAAGGATTTCTGAAAACTTGCTACTGTCAATCAGAGTTTAAATGATGAAATATAGAATTTTATCCTATTTTAATGAGAAGAGAATCACATCTATTTTAAAAGTCTGTTGTAGTACGTTAAGCATAAAAAAGCTAACTGAACCCCACAAGCTCAGACAGATGATTAAGGAAATGATAACACTAGTTACTAGGTGTCAGCTAAGCATCAGGAACTGTTTGTGTGCCTTACTTATTCTAAAACAAATGTAAGGTAATGCAAATTGGCTTAACCTTTTTCCTAGCAAGCCTAGCAAAGTTAAATTCATTATCTCACATTCATTGTACACTAAATGGTCTCAGACAAACTGTTACTGCAGATTGGTCAATTTGTGGTATCTTGCTGAGATAAAGTGATTTGATAGTGTGGAAGCTGGCCTATGAGCAGATGTAACATTTTGAGTGAATCTCATTCAGGGACAGGAATCCTGTATTTCATTGGAAATGAAGAGATGATCTGTAGCAAACAAACTTACATAAGCTTTCCCATTCCTGTGAACCACCTAAAGAATTGTGCCATAGATTGTAGGCATGCTGAAGAACACTTAGAAGAATACTTACAGACTTGTTGAATTAATACCTTCAATAAAATCATAAAGGAGTGCCTGGAAATTCATCAGTGAGCACCTGCATAGAAGAAGGACCTGACAGAAAAGGGAAGAACAGTGCGGGATTTGAGGATCCATCATGGAGCAGCAGAAAGTGTGGAAAATAAGTGATATAGGCCTAAGCATGGGCAAAGCATTGATGATATATCCAAAGTGAAACTCAATTTGGGGAAGTAGGTTTAGGTTTTAACTACCTTTTGTATTTTTCTAAAGCAGAAACATTAGAAATTGAAAAGGCCTCTTAAATCACACCTTCCATATCACAGTGTAGGATGATTGCTTACAAAGTAATCATTTGGTAAAGATAATCACCTTTCCTAGCCTAGTTTTACTATGACCTTGTTGAGATCTTCTGTGTGCCCAACAGTTGGGAAGAAAAGCCAAGAGAACAGAGGAATTGTGCAGTGGACTGGGTGTGACATGGAGTTTGTTTCCATCTCTGCTGCTGACTCAGTGCATTAGGTCAGAAAAAAGTATTTACTGCTCTGTGAGTCAGCTTTTTTCTACCCACGAGTTGACAGGCAAGATACTTACATATTTTTATAAAAGGGTTGAGGATGAAAAGTGTCGTGCATTCTTATTATAATAAATATTGGTTTTCTTACATATAACTTCTGTGAGAAGTTCCTTCCCTGTTTACAGCCTTCTTTATGCAGGTTTACACATGGCCACCAGCTTTCCCCCTATCAATTTAGCCAGATTACAAATGCCTTGACCTTCAAAAAACTGGCTATTTCAACATCCCCAGCTCTCCAAATGTTCTCACACACAGATTCAGCAGTCTCTTCTTCTAGTGCTATATTAAAATAGCTTAATACTGAAAGGATTTTATAGAAATCTATTGCAGTGCTAGTTTTTCAGAACACTTTGTTTACAGCAATTTTTAAAAGTAATTCTCATGTAACAAAGATATTGAAGTAGTTAACCTTGATTTCTGTTTTTTAAGGATCCACCAATGGCAGTGACTCTTGGACTGCGAATGGAAGAAATGATTTTTAATCTTGCTGACACACATTTATTTTTTAATGATTTAGAGGTAAGAACCAAAAGAACATAACCACCATTATGCTTGGGGTTGTAGCATAGTGGCTTTGCTCTGCATTAGTGTTTGTTGTGTGTGACATTTTCTGCCATTCTAGACTTTGGGTTTTTTCATACTCTAATCAAAGATGGCTTAGCCAGGTAGCAGTGACTTGCCATGGCACCAGAGTCCTTCCATGAAACTGGATGAGAAAGGGAATCTGCTAATTACCCTCTCCTCTCCTTGTCCTATGGCCATCTTTTCAGTTTCCCTGGATTTAGAGCTGTCTGCAGCCATTTCCAGGAGGGGGACATATGTGCCTTCCATTCTTTCTCTTGAAGTTCTCTGCATTTGTTTTCAGTGGGTACCATCAGCTAACCACAAGAGATTGTGTTCTTCTCTTCACATACCTGAATAGCCTTTTGGCTGCAGGCCACCCTTTCTTGCTCAAAGGTAGAATATTTTTCATTTACCTCAAAGACTGCAGCATCAGAGAGATGGGACTATGATAGGTGTGCTTGTCAGTGATGTCTCTTCCCGAGGTAACCAGGCAACCACATATTTTGTCACGACATACTCAGGGTGTGCAGTTTGGCATCCGGTCAGAAAAGGGAGAGACCTCTTCCTAGGGAGTGATGGCTGTGGACTGCTCACCTGTCAGGAGCACGCAGATGGACTGCCACAGGGACAGACCTTTTGTTTCACTCCAGGAATCCAGATCTGTTATTGTGGAAAATGACAGTCTTACAACCATGTGTGTCAAGAGACAGGGGGTGAAAAACAGTTCTCAAATTAAACTATGGGCTTTTCAGTCCTTCCACTGCTCTAAATCAGTTTTTTTCTTACTCAAAGTGGATCCCAGACTCCCTCTCTGAACAGATATTTTGTCACTAATGGCACTTGGAAGCCTTTGAGGTTTTGTTTAAAATGCCAGAGAAAGGTCTCTGGGGAGTGAAAAGAAAAAAATGAGGATAAGTGAGATTTTTCCATTCACTGGGATGTTGATTTGTGCACTTGTCTTGTTCCTTCATTGATTGTAAGCAATAGGAAAAATAGAAGGTACCAGGCTGTAGTTGTCTTTGCCATCCCTTGCAGACCTCATTTATTCTTACTTCTTTTTAAGTCAAGAACCTACTTCACCCTGTACCTGAGCTGCACTTCCTCCTTCCAGCAGCAGAAACCTAAGAAAGTAAATGCCTTCTACAGTCAGTGTTTTATTGCAGTCCTAATGAGTCATCACTTGACAATGCAAGTGCATTCGGTGAATGTTCTCCTTCTGGTGCCCCATACCAGGGGAAGATTCCAAATAAATTTTTCAAAGCATTGTTTAAATTTCTTTTTAGCAAACCTTTGCCCCTGCATGTTCAGATTTCATGTGGCACGCAATGAACTTTAAGCCGTTTGGTAGCATATGCCCAGAGTTCTTCAGTCTTGTGCTGAGTTCAAGTGGAAGAGTTCCGCACAATGGAGCTTTTCTCTCTTTCCATACCTCTTTATTCTTGCTTATGGCCACTGAAGCTTCATTCCTTTCTCTCATTATTTATTTTCCTTGTAGATCTCAGGTTTATCTGTCATAGGTAGATCATCACATTTTTGTATATTATTCATAGGGTGGTTTCAGTATCCTGTCGAAAAATTAATACTCCAGCTCATTCCAGAGCTTGAACAGTATCCAAACAGTTTTCATCTTTAGAGAAATCAAAAAATACTACTTGGGAACTGTATTGGTGAATCTCATAACTCAATCAATTTGATTTGATTAAAACCAGTTTCTACATGCAATTAAATATTTTCTAGCCCAGAATTAATCTTTATTTCAAAATCAACTCACTTACTTACAAGATTACCAAAATTCCAAACTTCTTGTTCTGAAATGAGCTGTATGCACACATTCTGGCATATGCAAGAAGACCAACAATTTTCTGTCTTCTTAGCAAATAAAAAATAATTGCATGATATTCTGTGCCAAAGTACATAGATGTGTCCTTTAATATGCAGATGAATAAGTCTGTTTAAATATATTTGCAGAGCACATGGCCATTACTGAATATTTCAGTGCATCTGTGTGATGACTGTGTCATTAATTCTGACAATCCCTAGTTCTGACTTGGGGTCTCTCTCTCATCTCTCCCCCTCTCTCCATGTCTCTTTCTCTGTCTTCCTCTCTCCATCCTCCCCCAGGAGGAGGGAGGTGAGTGCTGAGCTGCGGATGGTCATGGCCATCAGGACAGAAGACCTTCAGTTCTTACTGAAGGAAGTGAGATTGGCCTTTACTAACTAGACAGATTACTTCTCCTTTCATCATCTCACTTTTTTAATGCTGAGCCATCAGGTTCCATACTTTCTGTCTTGCTTTCATCTTCATCCCACAATAAACCTTGTGGCTCTGCACATGACAACCGTAATGTACTAGTGAACCTGTATTCCTGTAATACTGACTCCAGTCACTACATCCTCTAAGCTCTCTTTTTTTCCCTGTCTTTCTTGGTTGCAAACACTGCATACCAGGGTTTAGTAATAATAACCAAGTTATTGAAAGCTATCACATACAAAAATAAAGTTCTCCTTCTTCTATGCAAATCTGTCTCACTACAATGACTGCTGATGCTGAAATTCCTATCTGCTGAGACATTCCCTGCTGACCCAGTAACCCCTGTTCTAATCAGCCAAGCTGCACTTTTATTTCAGGCTAGGCTGTTCTCCAGCAATTTCATTCTCAGTGTATAAATTTTAGTTAGCTTGAGAAGTCTCGCTTGGGAGGGCAGTTGGTGTTCTGCCATGAAAATAGGAATCTGGTGCTCTAGAAAGTTCATGTGCCTAAGCAATGCTAAGAGACGGGACTCAGTTCTGTAATAATTTCCAGACTAATGCATTCTCGTCTCAACCAGGTAAGGAATGAATTCAAGTTTTTCTCCCTATTTCAGTTTTAATTTTAAGACAGCTTTTAGAAATGTTGGTAGGCATACTATGCATGTTAAAAAAACCCTGTTTCTGCGATTTGCAAGAAGGAATTTGGACTTGAATCTTCCAACTCCATTATCCCCCTCCATTCCCAAAACAATGAAGAAAAAAAGAGTATTTCAAACAAACTGAGTTACATTTCCATTTCTATGATAATCCTACCATATTTTAAATAGGATTTTGTTGTCATTTTTTTGCTCATTAGAAATTGAAATGAGAAATGAAAAATAGGATTTAGGTAAGTTTCAGAATTTGGGAGGCAAGTCAAACTAGTTTTAACAGAAATTGAAGCATATACATAAAAAGGAGTATTCTGTATAGCCTGAGAAAGCATAGTGCTGAATATCTCCTCAGTAATAACATTTTTGTGTACAGTGTGGTGAGTCAGTGTTTTTACTGGATAATGAAATTACTGTCCATTCCAGGAGGATGGTTTTTACAGATGATTTGTTGATTCTGTACTCTAAAATAATTTTTCAGCTCTAAAAATTGCTGCAGAGAATTGACTGCGCTTAGATATAATTTAAATTAGTATTGCTTCAAGCAAAAGCCAGTTATTGTACCTCAATTCTTCTCCTGTACTCTCAGTAATAGGAAATAGATTTTATCTTTCTTAGTTTTGACCTTGCACTGGCAGTGAACCACTGTTACTAGAGTGTAGCCAGTACATGTAGCTGGTGTGAAAAGCATTTTACCTTAACATTTAAAATGACAGCTTGCTTTCTTTCCTTCTTCCCTGCAACTGTTTGGTCTCCTCTTCAAGCAAACTCACATCTAGTGTTGTACCATCAATTTCCTGTTTCTTTTGGGAAAAGTAGAAAACTATCTCAAATCTGCACAAACCGTCTCCTCTTTTTTTTCCGGAAAGCTTTTTCACAACATTTAAGTGAATTTGTATAATTTAAACATTTTTGTTGAAGTAAATAAGTAAAAGAGAAAATGAAGTAAAACAAAGCAAATAGAGGTGGGCATGAGTTTGTTGACCAGCAAATGTGTATTGCCACTACTGTGAGGAGTTGAGCCATGGATCCAAGATGAGACAGGAGAAGAGGAAGAGGGAGAAGGAGGAGGCTGGCGAATGTTGTTGGGTTTGATCCTCTCATGTGGCTACAAACTAAGCAACCTTCTTGCAGGAACAAGGGGCAAGTAATCAGAAAACGGCATGTTCCCCTCTTCTCCTGTTGCTGGAATCAATGAACAAAATGAAAGATAAATAAAAGTAAACAGCTGAGCCTTTGCCACCCACTCATAATTAACTTAATAATGAAATTATCAGCAGAACAGTTATCTGTAATTTTCAAGGCTGGAACAATGTAGCTGAAAGGCTTAAGAAAATACAAACAGCAGCAGACGCTCCTTATTCCTCAGGGCTTCTGTGTGCCCTCCATTTAATTAGTATACCTTCGTATCCAATGGACTGATTTTTAAACTTTTAAAATTATCTTATGTTTTGACCAGTTTCTGGGAAATTGGCAAAGGTGATTAGGAAGCCAGATATTGCTCAGATATTGCAGAATATAGAGTTAGAATTTGTCCCAGTAGGGCTTTTTGTCTGATTTTTTAGTTTCTCTCCTACACTGGGTGGAGTATAGTTGCATTTTTTTTCTGGATAATAATAAATAAGGGTAAAGAAATTAGTCTTTTATTTCGACTGCCACTTTCCCTTTTCTTTCTCTTTTCATCTGCTATTTGCATCCAAAAGCAGTTTTAAAAAATATTCTACAGTTTAAAATAATTTCCTCAGACAGAAACAAAAAATTTTAGTACTCCAGTGGGGAGAAGAATGCTTCATTTATGTTCCTTGAACACTGCTCTTTCATGCCTGTCTTAATGGATTAAGCCAGATGAACAGAGTTTGGCTGCTTATTCTTTTAGTCTTGATACAAAATTTTAAATTATGATTGTTTGTATGATGCAATGGAATTATGCATTTGAAAATGAAATTATATGCATTTATTTTATAAAAAATTGCTAATTTATTTTTTAAAAAAACTAGTTTAATGTGGGTAAAAGTCTGTTAAGTTTCCATTCAGTGCAAATAATAATAATTAAACAAACAAACAAACAAAAAAAAACAGAAAGAAGAAATGGCAATTCCCCAAATTCACACTCCAGGAAATTGTGGCATACACATTTGGAAATCACTCCCCTGTTGAAATATATCCTTTATCTGGACAATTTAGCACTGATACAAGACTGAGATAGGAAATGTAGAATGGTGTCCTCCTGCATGTCACAGAGTCTGAATTAAGTGCAGCTTGTCAGCAACTTGATCTGAAGTAGATGATTCAGATGACTCTTTATTTGAGGTACAGAATGTGCATTTTAGAAGTTCCACCTCATTTTGTCTCAGTGATGAGATTAAATTATCTGAAAACATTTATTGGGGAGTAATTTTTAAATACATCATTGAACTTTTCTTGTATTAGGATTATGTTAACAGCTATTTTAAATATTAAAAAAATACTTATATGGAGGAAAGTAAATCTCTGGACACTGAATTTCAGGTGTGTCTTTAGGTTAAGTTGTTAGTTCTAACAACTACAGAAATCAGTAATACAATGCCTATTCATATTTAGTGCTGCAAGGTGGCTTGAGTTCTATATTTATTTGTGCTTCCCCCACATTTTCCTATCTTTCTGCCATAACCACTGTGCAGAAAAGGATATTTGATAGCTATCCAATTATTAAACCAGCTTGGAGAGGAGTTCAGTTTTCCAGTGTAGCTCAGATCCCTGAAGTTACTTCCATTCCTTCTGAAACCAGGAAATAATGAAATTTTCCAGGACTGCTTGATTATCTGTGATTTTCCAGCCAAAGGCATTTGGATAAAACAAGAAAAAAACCTGATAAGCATCCAGACTCCTAGAGACTTAACAGAAATTACAGGCCTGTGGATCTCCATCATCATTAACTTTTAGGAAGTGGGGAAATACAATTTAGGTGATTTTGGAATATGGGTATACTACAGAGACTGTAAATGAGACTGGTTGAATTTTTTTCAGTTAAAGCTATTTTAATCTAAAATCACACAAGTTACATATCACTTTTCTAAAGGCCTGTTTTAACTAATTTACACAGTGTAGGAGTTGACGGATGTATTATTGTAAAGAAATTGGTGGGAATAGGAAGCTATAAGTGTATATACGCTGCCATCTTCTGGTGCACTTAGTGGCCTGCACCGAGCATTTCTTCAACATCTGTACTAAGCATCTGGATAGCACACTTTATTATAAGATAATTTATCATTTGTTTGGGTTTTTTTCAACAGGAGTGTGATCAAGTTCATATAGATGATGTTTCTTCTGATGATAATGGACAAGACCTAAGGTAAGATGGACCATTTGTTTCTTTTTTTTTTTCTTCAAAGATTAAATAAATTGAGCATTTACAGGAATACATTGTATTTATTTTTACTGTATTTTGGGTGTTTGCAGTACCTACAGTTTTGCAACTGATGGCTTCCATGCAGCTGCAAGTAGTGCAAACCTTTGTCTGCCAACAGGTGTAAGAGGAGGGGTTGACTGGATGAGGAAGCTGGCTTTCCGTTACAGAAGAGTAAAAGAGTTGTATAATACTTACAAGAACAACATAGGAGGTGAGTTTAATTGTCAAAACCGATTTAGAATGCTGATCAGGTTATACTGCGTAGTGATGAACTCCCACTGAGGGAATGTGCCTTGGAAACCACAGAGTGAATGGAAAGTGATGTGACTGGACCTTGGGCTATTGAAAGCTACTGAGTGTAATGGCAGAGCCAACATTGTGTTGTTGTGGAGGAGAACCAGAGGTGGGGAAAGAGATGAGGCTTCCCTTTAGCTTCCATGGAGCCTATTTTTCTCCTTCAGACACAGCTCAGCTATACCTACCTTACTGATTGGTTGAGCCACTTACTCTACCTCAACTATGCTGTTATTCTAGGAATGAGGTTGTATAGTTTCCACAGCACAAATTAGTTGTGGCTGGCCTGTTCCATCCTACATTTTCATGATCTTGTTGGTAACAACACACTATCCACTAAATTCTCTGCTAGGTACCTGCTAGTCCATTTTTACCAGTGGATGCAAGAAAACCCTAGCACTGCCATGCCACAAGCCCTTTTTGGTGATTCTGTAGCTTACACAGTTAATTGTGTTAGCAAGAAATTCAAGTCTCATTTGGGCTCAGAGCTTTCCTGTTACCGTTTTCATTCATGGACTCACTCATGGCCAGCAGACTTGTAGGAAATCAAGCAGCAGAACTGAAATAACCTATTCTGGAGAGTCCTGTGTGACTTGCAGAGGCTGCCAGCTCTCTTCTGAGGGGGGGAATACATCAACTGACTGCCTTAAGAAGAGCCTGCGAGAACAGGGAATATTTACAAGTTTTCAAGCATTGTTACAGCCACAGTTGAGGATAAGATGAGGTGAACTCAAACAGGAAGGAGTTCAAGTGAACACTCATTCTACAGCATGGGCTTTTTTAACTTACCTGAAATGTATTTCAAAGGAACCTGAAACTCAAAGTAAAGCTCACCGTCAGCAAAACCAGACAGTTTGATATTCATTTCTTGCAGTCTCTCAAAAATGGGAAACAGGACTACTAATATGGGCAATAATTAGTCATTACCTTAATCATTTTCTAAACTATGTAAACCTGAAATATATATTTTCTCTTAGAAGTTCAGAGTCTTTATTTGCCACAAGAGGAAGCAATAGGAGCAAAGGGTGATAGTTAAATGGCTGATTTTCACTTGCCCTGACTTGCCATTCATTGGTTTCATGAATGGAGTTTTTATATATTAAGACTACTTGCAACATTATTATCCATATGTTTACTGGATTTTCTTCTATCTCCTAATACATCTAAGATTCTAAAGCTGTTGCATTTCATAAAACTTTTAACATTAGTAAGAGCTCAAGTCCAAGAGCACAGCATAGGAAAACACACTAAGAGGAACAACCATTGCAAAGGCAGAGTGCAATATGTGCATATGCACACATGTGGTGCATTGTGTTAAGGTTTTTATTCTTTCCCACAAATCCTGCTTCTGAAATACATTCCATCCATAGTGGGCATCCATCCTCTACTTCTTAACTTTTTAAATAATCTTTTTATCACATATCTGTCTATTTCAAAATAGCTGTTAAAAGGCAACAGAAGGCTAGATCAAACTAGGTATTTTTAGGTTGCTCCATTTCAGATTTTTAAAGACAGTCATCACCACTTCTTAAGAACTTGGGGTGTGACAGAGAAGAGGGATACTAAAGGTCATGAAGCCTGCTTCCCTGCTCTTCCAGGACCAAATCTAAATTTAAAATAGCTTGGTTCCAAAGAACTCATATCTCAACATTCCGCAGGCTGGGTATTTTTTAAAATCTGACCATTCATATCCAAAAGGAGATCTTAAGGTGCTTTTAAAGACTAACTGAGATATGAGAACATAAGATGTACAGCCGTTTCACAGCTGTAAATGCTATAAAAGGAGCTATCATTGCTAACTACAACACAGCATGAAAAGTAAGCCATCAGCAAACAAATGTATTTCCATATGTGTAACCTGAGGTTCACCTATATACAGAGTCATAAGCAGGGCAGTTTTAAACATATGCAAATACTGCAAAAGCAAATTTATTCTAAAGTCTCTTTTGTGAGTGTCTCTGCCTATGATTAGGATGGCATGGATGTCCTTGTCATTGCCTCTGATAATCAGAAAGTAAGATGTATGTGAGGAGTTGGTTTAAATAATATGTATTTCTCAGAGGTATACTTTGACATGTAATAAAGTAGCCTGAACAGACAAAAAAAAAAATAATCAGGCAACTAATTATTAGTATCTTCAATACTCTCTGAAATTGCTTGGTATAGTAGAGTGCAAATACAGACAGACATCAATTTACTGAGCCTTGAATATAATAACTTTTCTCTTTGATATTTTTCAAGTTCTAATGGAATTTAAAATAGAAACAATGGCCATAAAATCTATAAATTCCAACTAATACAGAATTTGATTTTTTTTTTCTTTTCTTCCTTTTTTACATAAAAGGGCTCCTGGGTCCCGCTAAAAGAGATGCATGGTTGCAATTAAGAGCAGAGATTGAAGCTCTAACAGACTCCTGGCTAACAAATGCACTTAAGTCATTATCAATTATCAGCACAAGGTATGTATTTGAGTCTACTCTAAAAAAGTTTCTAGCTTTGGACTTGTAGTGACTACTTTCTGTCATTTTAGGTTAAAATAAATTAGTGCCTGTAAAGAACAGAACATGTCTAATATGACCTCTGAATAGGATGTAGGAAAAATTCCATGGAAAGTTATTTTATTTTCTGTGATTCCAGTATTTACTAAAGATAGTATTAAGTGTCTTCTAAAATGTGATTAAATGTGCCTGTGTACACTGAAAGGATATCATAAAATTCTGAGCCAGCCTTTAATTTATTATCTTCTGGGCAGCATCCTCTGAACTGCACGTCCCTCTGTTCTGTCCTTCAATGCCTGTGCCTATTCACAGTGCTACATAAATGCTGTATAGATCCCAGAACACAAAACATTTTTGTTCTGTTCTTCCAGAAAAATCAATATGCTTAAGCATATATCTAAGTTTTCAGAAGAGTTAAAAGTCCAGATTCCCAGTAATGAGACATAAAATGTGTTGTTCCTATGAAATAATAAAACTGTGAACAATGCTGTTGCTTAGTCAGCTGTACAATATGTATCTCATCAGACATCCTAAAAATTCTGGTTTTAAACCATAAAAAAGAACAATCTTAACCCATCTTGCCTTCTGAACATGTCTGGGAAAAGACTCAGCATGAAGTGGAAAGAACAAACTTGGAAAGATGTGAAAAGCTTATTTTAAACATAACAACTTTTGCAATATGTTTATCTCTTAACTGTTTTTTATTTAACAGTATCTTAAGCACATTAAGAGATAAAAAAAAGTAAAAAATGTGTGTAAATTTGTGTAAGCCATTGGGTTTAGCTCTACATTTCTTTCCAAATTGCTAGTCTTCAAAAAGACTTATGGCAATGAAGGCCAGTTGAGCATTGGTGGATGAGTCTGGAAAACTGTTTATCAGTTTCTCAGGACTGTTAAATAATAGTCTTTTATCTTGTCTTCAAAGAGCTGTACAGCTATAAATCTTCAGAATTTACCTGTGAGGCAGCTAAATATTACCTGTATGTTGCTGACAGGAAATTGAGTACATTAAGGCAGAAATAGTGTCCTGATTTTTAGCAGTGAAACTATCACAAATAGTAACCTAAGTTTTTGCTTGGAATTTGTGAAAGAACAAGGAGGAAAAATCACAACTATTTGCTCTCAGCTCCATGTTCACAGCATCATCATGCCCATATTCCAGCCTGTCAATGCCTAAAGTAGCCTGGCTCTGAGTTTTCAGTTGTGTTACTGCCAGCACAACTTCTCCATTCAAGTTTTCCTCCTCATCATTTGATGCTAGCTTATTAACATGATTATTCTTATCTCTCCTTCTTCTCAGAAATATTCTCAGTCTTGAAACATGAAGAAAGTGATGTCATTGTGCAGAAATGTGTATTGGCTTTTTATTTCCCCTCAAGACAGGAGTAACAAATGATGTTTTTGCGTTCTTTTAACTCTTTTCTTTGGCCAGTACCTACAGCCAGTTAATTGCCAGAGTGAAAATAATGCTTTTAAAGCATTCAAATGCCTATTTTTGGAGGTAATTGGTGTTCTTAAATGTCTGTATATTAGTGGACCCATCTTCCAGGATGTGTTTTTTTATAAACCAGTGTGGAATATTTCCTTCAAATCAGGCCTGCATATTTCTTTAAAGGATTTTGCCAAAAGTTTTATGTACATTTTTCTGGAAGTGATGGTGCTGAGCAGTACTGCTATGTGAGTGAAAGTAAATGTCAAGGAATCCTGAATATGCTCTCCACAGCTGGTTCACCTCATCAACATTTGGGTAATAGTTTTAAACTATTGAAACTTAAACTATTTCTCTCATTTTAGGAGTAACTGTGTAAACGTGTTGGTAACAACAACCCAGCTTATCCCAGCCCTTGCAAAAGTTCTACTATACAGCTTAGGAGGAGCTTTTCCTATTGAAAATATTTACAGTGCAACCAAAATAGGTAAGAAAATTATTCTTTCATCCATTCTGACTACATTGCATTACCAATATTTTTTTGCCAGTAATGGAGGGATTCCAAGCCACTTCCCTGACACTTACAGTGTTAGTTATAAGATTTAGGCATTACATATGTTCAAATGTGTTTATGTTGATATATTCCAAATTCACCTTATTTTCAATGATGCCTGATGGAATAAAGGTCCCCATACTGATTAAAGGCCCCAGAAACTCCTAAATGTGATGCAGAAAACAAAAAATGCACAGAAAAGAATGAAGAGGAGTGTTTTGTGAATTCAAATCTAAGCAGAACTTCTGTTAAAATAGTCTCTGCTCTGACCTTCAGCTCTATATAATCTAGGCCACTGCTTCACAAGCTTTTTCTGGAAGCATAGTACATTAGTGATGGTAATGACAACTGTTACCAGCAGAAGCTGTGTTGATGGATGCCACAAGGGCACTTTCCTGTTCTGCTGATAACTGTGTACCTCTTGTGTATTACAGTTTGGAAATTTATGGGGTTTGGAAATTGCATACAAAATTTTCTTGTAAACCAAGAAGAGTTGCCGTTCCTGTGAAATGTGACACAGCCTACAATATCCAATATTTTTGGTAGATTTCGGGTTTTATCAATTATTAATTCAGGAATGCATAATTTCTCTACCTATGACACCTTATATAACATGGAGTGTGACACTTCATTGACAAAAGCATTACAATGTATTTCCTAAATTATTTTCGCAAGTGAAAAAATAATGCACACGTTAACAGTGTCAGGAAAAACTATACCTCAGTCATCCTTTAATTAGCTGTAGCTGTCCTCTAGACATAAATGCCTCAAGTTCCTTAAAAACTTAAGTCAAGGCACAAAGTATCCCAAATACCACATGGTACGGAGCAGCCTCTGGAATGAATGTCATCTGTCATACAGCTTGTACATGTTGGATTCAGTCACTGAGATTGCACTTGGACCAAAGGAAGGAGCATTAAGAAATAGTGCTGACAGCACAGAAGAGAGTGGTGAAGTGAAGCACGGTCTCTGGAGGCTCTGTTGAAGTAATTCTCCACCAGGAGTTCCTTCTGGGAACACTGTGCCTGCTGTTACACTCCTGTCAGGAGCACAGCAAGCTCTGGGGTACAAGATCTCTCTCTACTATTTATCTCAGTGATCTCTGCACTGTGCTGAGCACAGGACTATAATTGCAGCTGTTGCTTGCACGCACTGGAATCTAGTCCTCACTCAACAGTTAATACACACGGTGCTTTTCCAAGTCATAAGCACTTTTTTGTGGGCCAGCTTAATAAAAGCAAGAGGAGAGCAGTAAGAATTGGAGGTCCTGAAAGCATGAACTTGTGGGAAAAGACTAAAACCATGGGGCAAAGAGAGACAAAATAAGAAACAAGATAAAAAGCTATTGCAGAGAGGAAAGAAATAATCTCTCTATGTTGATGGCAGGTATGACAACAGGTGATAATTTCTTTGCAATAGGGCACATGTACGTCACATGTCAAAGACAAATTTCCTAATAGAAACAGTTAATTAAATATGAAGATTGCCCGTGGAACCAGTGAAATCATCCTATTAGGACAGTTTTAGGCTTGATAGCACAAGCATTTGTTGTTGAAACTGAAGCTGCAGTAGTACAAGGAGAAGATCAGTAGATGACTTTGCTTGATCCCTTTCAGTCCTGTTTATTGTTGTTACTGGCTTAGCCTGCTTACTTCCACCTTTCTCCAAAAGAGCCAAAAGCTTCATGGATGTTCTCCCGGGAACCTGTTGTCTAATTTTATTCTGATTCTCCATTGTTCTTTGAACACTTTTTCCATAGCTATATCACACTTTGTTGCAGACACATTAGAATTAAAATGTCTGTTTTCCTTGAAAAAATATTACTACAATAATAGGGAAATATTTAAATTCAGTTATTAATTCACTGACCTATTAATTTTTACAGTGCTGCTAATTCCTTTATCTTAGTGGCTTTCCTGTAACTCTTAAGAAAGAGATTCAGTTTTACCTCTAACAGCTTAGTGTCACTAAGGGAATTAATTGCTTCTTGTCAGTTTTGGCTCTAAATCACAAGGTTGCAAACTTTTAAAAAGTAGTAGTAACAATGTCTTACCACTGCAATAGTCCTTTGTAGGGCTTCACCATAACTCAGTTGACAGCTTGAATAAGTAGTGCATTGTTTTTCAGGCAAAGAGAGCTGTTTTGAGCGTATAGTGTCCAGATTTGGCACTAACATAACTTATGTTGTGATTGGAGATGGCCGAGATGAGGAACATGCAGCTAATCAGGTAACTTCACTCTGAACTCTTATCTCATTTATCTTCCAGGAAAAGAAAGTTGCTTTGAACGAATAATGCAAAGGTTTGGCAGAAAAGTAGTATATGTTGTAATTGGGGATGGTGTAGAAGAAGAACAGGCAGCAAAAAAGGTAACCTGTCTCCTGAAATGTTGGTGTGATACATAGCTACTAATGCAAGCCTTTCTGTTTGCATTTCTGTCAGTGTTGCACAATGACAGAATGACAAATAATTTTGAGTCCACAGATGCAAGGCAACAAGAGCATGATGAGATCAAAACTTAGAGTAAAATGAACCATTTGGATTTTAGCGTTTGCTTCACTTCAGTTTGGAATGAAAAAAAAAAAAAAAAAAAAGAAAAACTATTTTTAAAATAAATGAAAAATGATTGCAGAAAAAAATTCCTGACTAGCTTCAAGCAAGTTAAATATAAACAGAAGAAATAGAAAGGGTTATGACATGATGGCTGGGTGGTAGTTTTCTTTCAATGGTGAAATCAGGGAGGTTTCAAGAGAAGTGTTACAAAGAATGGGGCAAAACCACCTAAAGGACTGTGCAATTTTTTTGCTAACATAGATCAAGATCTGTGGTTTACTGGAGCAAATATGATGAACATATAATTTGCTTCAAGAAAGACATATCTGCAAAAGGAAAAAGAACATAATATAGAGATTGTGTACCAAGTCTGTGTTTCTAAACAATAACTGTTTCTTTAGAAATATTCCATTTTCTCATTATAATAATTCAAGTCTAAATTTCACCAGATAAGTTTTCAATGTTCAAAACCAGATCAATTTGCACCATACTTCCAGTATAACCTTGAAAGTGTGCAAAAACTGAAATTTTTGCCTCACGATGTCTGCACAGGACAAGTGAGGTAAATATCATTGTGCTAGGAGTAGCAAAATAAAACGGTCTTTTAGTGTTGTAGCTGGAATGGAAACAAAATGAAAATAACCAAAATGCTCATTCCAAATGGTTCCTTAATATGGGTACAGTACTGGTGATGGGTCTTTTATAGTTTGTACTAAACAAAGGTGGTTGGATTGTGTACTTTCAATTTGGCATGCTTTTTTCTTAACATTGGCTATATTGCATGGATAGATACAGAATTCAGAGATATGGATGAATATAGCACATTACAAATAGATCTGAACACAACATGAAAGTATGAGGTTTTTTTCTATTCTGATGACTTGCTGAAGGAGATAGTGCATATATATGCATCTCTCTCAAATACTGATGCTTTCTGCAACACAAATTATCTTTTATTATTTAAACCAGAAATGTGTTATTTTCTTATCAAAAGAGATTTATTTTTCCCCCCTATATGGAGAAAAAATGTAATTCAACTCTGTTTCAGTGTTGTGTGTGAAGCCTTTTTTAATAAAAGTCTTATAGCCCTTTAAATGATCATTCAGTGTTTTCCAAGTCTAGAAAGTAAGTGGAGTGGAAAGGGATTTCCTATTAATGCTCCTTCGTGTGGGTTTGCATGCTAACAATAACTAAATAGCCCTTACTAAATAACAGGCTCTTTCCAAAGAAACTGTAAGAAAGACTACCTAATTATTTTAACTTCACTTGAACTATTAGGCTCAGATCTATTTTGGTCTGATTTTTGTCAGTACTTTACTAGCAAAAATCAATCCAGAAACACAGTGGTGTAAAATATGTGGTGGTAAGCCTCATGTGTCATATACCGCCCCGTGTCACAGTGTTCATCTTTCCTGACCTTTTCCCCCCTCTAACAAACACAGCACAACATGCCTTTCTGGAGGATATCCAGTCATTCGGACCTCTTGGCTCTCCATCAAGCACTGGAACTAGAGTATTTGTAACTGTGTTCTAAAGTTGGCGATCCTTTTTTTATATATATATATCTATTTCAAGTACACTGAATTTTTATGTGTGATTCAATGCCTCTGGCTGTACACATATGAATTGTCTTAAGAAGGGAAGAAATATTTGGAATTAAAAATTCCAAATTGAAGAATTCAGATTGCTGAATGGAGTTAAAACATTAGTGCTACGTAAGGAAGCTCTATGGTCTTATATATGCAACGTTTTTAAATGAATTAAAACTGTGGAGGTTGCTGGTACACACCAAGTGAGCCCTGACAGGAGTGAACAAAGGACTCGAACTGGCAAAGCACCAACACGCGTTTTCCAGCCGACAAGGTGGTGTTCAACAACATTCCTCAAAATGGGATATATTCTCAGCACTGAGGTTTGAACCAGACTTTAGCCTACCTAACCCAGAAAATCTGAATTGGAATGCACTCAGACTGTATAATGACAATCCTGTCTAGACCTGTAATTTGTGTAAATTATTGATGAAAATAATTTACTGTGACTTTATTAGCAGCTGATTTTGGAAGTGGATGCAATTTTTCTTTCTTTTGCGGGGGTAGGGGAGGGAGAGGGTTATATAATATTGTCTCTTTTATAAGTTTGGCAAACAGAATGTGCATAATGATGTGTTGTGCCTTAAAAAGAAGACTGTGTTTGTGTGTTATAATGTAATTTTGGTTAAAAACTATGTAGATAAACAAACAAAAAAAAAAACCTTTGTGGTAATTTTTGACATGACCAAATTTGAAATTCAAAGAAATCAAAGAGTGGGGCTGCACCAAATCATTTAAATATTTGTTGCAGTAAGAAAAAATAATAAAAGAAAGTTTGTGTTTTTATTTGGATTCTGAATAATTCCACTGATTGTTTAAGGGAAGTTAAAAGTATGTTGAGAGGTTGATACTGGGGACCGCTACCTTGAAAGCTAAAAAAAAGTGTTTAACACCTTCAACATCATTTCTTGATTCTCCAACAAGAGAACTAAGAGCCATATTCATGAATTACTTAGTCCACTGAAAGCCATGCAGTGAGTGCATCTGCTGTGTATAAAAGAACAGATTCTCACCCAGCAGACAAAATGTGAAAGTGGCACTACCACAGGGTGAAAATGTGGAATTAAGCCCAGATGGGGAGTAAAACACAAGTCCTTTAGGAAAGAAAAATTACTATAGATTCTCTCACCAGTAAGGTGCACAAATTATGCTACATTTAGCAAATTCAGGATCAGCACAAGCTGGTGAAATTGCTGGTGTGATGACAATGGCCATTTGAGGAGTACAGTTCGCTTTGGTAGATATAACAGCATTTTGGCAGCTTTTCTATTCTGTTCCACATTTAAGTGTCTTCTGTTTTGGGTCAACATTATTTTCCTCACTCAATTTTGACTGCAGAACAATATTTCATAGGAGGAACCCTAAATGTTTTGAATCAGAAATTTCAATAGTATGTCAGGCATCTGAGGAGAGGGTAAAGAGGGGAATTTTATGAAGAAATATGGAGAAATATATAACATTAATTTTCCTAATGTCTATTAAAAATTACACTCCATACAGTGATAATTACCTTGCAAGTTTGAACATGCTACCTTTCAGCTTTGGAAAATGAGCAAGGGTTATATTGCACACAGCGTCCCTATTGCTGCACGTGCAGCTTGAGCACTCTGAAACAACAGCAAGTGGTGCCTCTCTCATGGCAGAAGATGGAAACTACTTTTTGATTTTTAACGCTGTACATAGAGACACCTCAGGTTGCCTGTGCTCTGACTGCGTAAAGAGGTGTGTGCAAGAGAAGATGTTAAATGTAAACTCCAGGATGCCTGTACAAGCACAGTAGTCAGCACTGAAGTGAAGATCTTCCCTCTCTGTGCTGTGAAGCTGCCAAATGTCTAGTCACAAGGTAGTAACTTTGTGGATTTAAACTTTGTAGTTTATATGAAAGTTAGTTGGTAGGTGAAAGCCTGGAGCCATTAAAAGTCCAAGGCAAAACTCCTCTATAAATCCATAAATCCATGGAATTTCTTTGCTGTGTTGGAATTGGATATACAGGTCACCACACAGAAAACTAATGAAAATTTGTTATCATTGGGCAGTTTAAAGCCATTGCATGAAAACTGCCCCATATGAAATAATTATACAGTAACTATTTGGATGATAGATTTGTGTGTCCAAAAAGTAAAAAAGATGCATGCCTTCTTTATACTTACAGTACCTGTCTAGTCTAATTTGGTCTGGAAATGCATTTTTCATAAAAAGTTGTACCAGCTTTTTGTAGTTTTTCAGGTGGTAAAAAATTATTTCTACTGGAATAGGAAAAAGTTCAAACAAAGCACTTCTCAAGTCCCAGCATCATAACATTGCATGAGAATCTCAATATAAAAACCTTTGTGAAACCAAAAATTGGTATGGTGAACTAGATTCTTTTTCTTTTTCTTTTTTTTTTTTTTGACAAGTCATAGTGTTATTTAAATGCATGAAGCAATATTATTTCTCAACTTGTTTGTTCAGCTTTTCAGTGTTCTTTTCCTAATCAGATGTAAGAACAAACAATAGCCCAGTAACAACCATCAGTTCTTTTAAAAGGTTTACAGTACCTTCATTGGAGTTGTGCTTAGATCTCTGTGGCAGGTATGGCTCAATTACAAATACTGGACTTCTAGAGAAGCGATGGAGGCAAAAGGAGGGAAGTTTTACAGAGCATGACAAAGTTTTGATTTTAATTTGGATTCTGTTTGCTACCATAGCAGAAGTTAATTATAAAAATAAATAATCCACAAAAAATGTACATCCAAAGAAAATTCAAGCATTTAGCTCAAAAGCCTTTTGCAATGCTAAAATTCTAAAACAAAATTTCAGCACACAAATACTCTCTTGCTAAGCAAAAATTGTTATATATCTTTAAATAAAAGCCTGTAATACATGCCTGCCTTGTAGAGAGAAATTACTCTGAAACATTTGCCTGCATGAAAAATAGAGATGAGAAAATAACCAAGGCAGAGACATAGTCATGCCACACTGTTCCAGATAGGCCTCGGTAGATTAAACTTAAGGCTGGTCATTTTGACATTGAGTGCATTTTAATTCAACAGCACATTAATCAGAAACTGCCTTCCCTTCAGCCTCTCCTCAACAACCAAAATTGAGCACAATGTCATATTTGCAAGTATTTGGGGCAAATGAACTATAGAAAATAATGCCTTTTGCTGATACTGTAGCAGTTTTTCAGTCAGTACAGAACTTGAATGTTCATTTGGCATTTGAATAGTCAGCTGTTTGCAGAATACAAATACAGTGTGATCGCAGTCACAAGGTAGTGTCTTAAATAGCTGTAACTCTGTGCAGTTCAGTATATCAGTAAAAGAGGACAGGAAAATCTAAAAAAATATGCTTCTTTTTAGATGGCTATGGAGATTGTGCACAAAGAGATAGGTGGCAGCCAGATCCCAGATCTGATTTGATTAGAATCCAGCATGAGCAGCACTGTTTGCATCCAAAGCAGATGCGGAGTATGTTCCAGCGTAAGCACTGACAGGGGAGATGAGGCCAAATCAAAATCCTGTACACAAGCACACTTCATCTTGGGGCAGGTGAAATCCTGCAGCCAATTGGAACTGCAGCGTTTATGGAGACTGTGGATTTGGCCCATCATAGGAAGACTAGATTTTAGCTGTGAGGTCATACTCATATCCAGGGTTTTGGTTCAAAAGTCATCTCTGCTTTACAGGATTGACATCAGGCATAAGCTCTAAATGAATATGGTATTTAGACTCTCTGAAGAAGAGCTGAAGTGACATGAGCCAAAATCCCAGCAATAGCAACATTTTGGAGATGTAACTGAAGCCAAGGGTCTCTGTCATGTATTAGCAGATTATAGTTTATTAGGGCCTACCTAATTTAAGAAAATGTAAATTAAAATTAAAAGCTTGTAAAATTATGTACATCTTTACTATTTCTCAATAAATACACTTGGAAATGTCATTTTCTGCACTATACCATGTTGTAAGATGCTTGGTTTGTGGTTAAAACCCTCCGTACACAATGTCTCTTACAGGAACTGAGTGTGACCTTGGACTCTTGAGTATGTCCGCGCTGCCTTTGTGGTTCATGCCTGGAGCAACCCTGTACCCATGTGGTCTAGTAGAGACTGGTTCACCTGCATATTGTTCGCAGGGTGCAGCCTCTAGAAGGAACTTCCCTCTGCTCTGCACAGAAGTTTCCTCCCCAAGAACACTAAGTGCTTTGCTCCACATGCAGCCTGAGTGACAAGTAACACCTTTTTTGCTGTGTCCTTGGGGCAAAACACAGATGAAACCAATTTGATGGTCTAGACACATAGTATATGCATTTAAATTCCCTTACCATTCATTTACTAATGTTATGCTAATATCCTTCCTATGAGCATGGGTTGTTCAGGAGACAGACTGGGCTACTGAAGGGAAGCTGCCATTCCAGTCAAAGCTGAGCCTCCTGAAACTTTCTAAATGTTTTTGGGAACAGTGCTTCAGTGTTAGTGAAGCTAACACTTAGTTAGGTGAGGTGCTAACCTTGGTTTGAGGTGCTAACCTTGGTTTGAAGGAAGCAGTCCCCCCACAGTCTGCTTGCCCAGAATTTAAGGCACACCTAGACATGACATTATGATCTTGGAAAAAACAGCAAGTGGCAGAGCCTTAGTAACCACAGTGCTTCAACCACAAGAGACAGCTTGTAAATAGTGGATTTTTTTTTTTTCCTCAGGAGTTAGATTAAAGCATGTCTGTTACAAATATAACTGTACTGTATGCACATCTGCCTTCTACTCTAATTTCAGGAATGAAAAGGAAGATATATCAAAAATAGGGTGGACAAAATATAAAGAAGGCCCATCTATGGAGCAGATTGACCCATAGTTAATAGTAGTTTTAACATTGAGTCAAATGGGTTTGCATGTGTCTAGAGAAGTGGAACCATTCAGTGCCCTTTTGGGGGAGTGAGATAAATGTAGTCAGAAAATGGTTTTCCTCCCTATTAAAACTGTGTGAGATTTCAGAACTTTTCCCTTTTCATACCAGGATAAAAATGAGAATCTGGGGTCCTTTGATTAAAAAGCTTTTGTCTGGGTTATAGCAAAGCATTAGCTTAATTTCTCATTGCTGAGAAACTCAGTGCTCTAAATGTCTGTCAATATGTTCTGAACAGGATGATTCACAGTGCTGAACTAAAGTAAAAACATTACACTGAGAACATTTATGGGTAGAGAAATAACTCTTCCCCATTTGCGTGCAAAAATACCTCTTCCTCATTATCCATTACCTATGGAGAATCCCCGAGGAAAATCAAGCAGAAATTTGGAATGGAATTATTTAGCTGCATCTTCCACTATTTGCCTATCTATTATTATCTCCAGGGGATGCACATTTAGGGTTGACTTGTTCGATCCATTTTCTTTTTTCCAAACAAATAATGGATTCAGAAACATTTTGCGGATGTTTATAAATTTGGGGGAATTGTTTCAGTTGCCAAAAGCCCAGACAGTAGGAGGAATGCTGAGAAAGTCAACACAGTAGTTTGGTTTTGCCTGTTAGTTTCTCTACCAATTTCAAGGCTTGACTTTCTAAGAACTGAATCTCTGATTTAAATCCACTAATAAAAAATGAAAAAGGATATTTTTTTTTCTTGTTGAGAAGAAAAGGGTGAAAAGGAGAAAACTCCGTAAACTTTCACA